ACTTGTCAACAAAATGTTTATATCCACTAATTACTGAAGAGTTAATAAACACAAACATAATTCAACACAACAACAAGATGTAGCTTGACAAAGTCTTGCTACATTTCAAATGACTTCAATCCATACTTATATTATAAATGAGTTTGTTTGTTTGTTACGCTCGACTTTTAAAACTTTTTAAAATTCTTTCACCAATGGAAAGCTACATTATCAGCGAGTAACATGCTTTTTACCGTGATTACCGAAATACAAGCGGGCGGAGCCTCGTGCAAAAGCTAGTAAAATATATATGAAATCACATGAATTATTGAATATCATGTCATGTCAAAAAAAATGAGTTTGAAACCTAATTTATTGTTGATGACATTCCATGATTTGATTCATTTAAGATTACAATTATTTAAATTATTTTTAACATTCGGACAAAGCGTTACAGCTTTTAGCCAACAATCGCTGAAAACATTGTAATTTTTAAAAGAAAGACCGATAGAAATAAAATCATGAGATTGTTGGCATAAAATGTATGACTTAAAGACGCCGCCTATAGGAAAAGAATCGGTATTAATATATGTACGATTAGTAGGGAACTAATCGTACTTAAATTATAAGTAATAAAAAAAAGTTGAACAGACTCCGTAGTTATTCTTGTCTGTGTTGCTCTTCTGAAGTATGGATTGTATCTTTTATTTATGACAACTTGGAAACACCTAAAATTGCGTCCTTACAATTTGTTCATAAAATATATGTTATAAAGGCATTCTTAGTGTTCACATTTTTAAAGAATAATATTTGTTTTTACAATCAAAAATGAATTAAAACTCATATTCTAAACTGGATATGATATTTACTATCCCGAAAAATATTTGTTCGTTAGAAATTAAATAACTCAAGGTTTAAATAGGGCTTTACTGCAATAGGAACTAAAAAGTATTATCCATAGGAGGAAAGTACATACACAATTTATATTATATTTTTAAAACGAGGGCGGGAAAAGTCGTATCTTCAGTATTCTTTCGTTCTTTTGATAAGAAACGCGCGTAGTAGGCCTTGAATTGCGCAGATATTATGTCGTGTTTGTACATAAACAATTTTCTGCTCTTTGAGGTAGGTTAAAAATAGGTTTGCTTTAATGTAACAGAATAATTATAATAAACTTCTAGAAGTATGACATTTGACAATTAAATTTACATTTTGAAAAGGAGGATTAATTCCAACACAATACTGAATATTTTGGTCTAATTTATTTATTTGTCGTTGTTCAATAGTATTTTGAATGAAGACTTAAGTACATTTAAATCTTTTTTAACACGTTATCTCTCTGTAAGGTATATTTGGCGGAATAGTTAAAATGATTTTAGAAGTAAGTTTATAAAATGACTGAAAATAGACACCTGTATCTCGGGATATATCAGTATTTTATGAATTGACTATATACCCATTGTTCTTAATTATCAAAGATGTAATTACTAGATATACTACTAGGATCAAATTTAAAGAAACATAAACAACAAAATGGGGTAAATTGTTTTTATTTTAATTTTAAATTGAAAACGAATTAACAATCAAACATATATTTTTATATATATTATATATTGATATTCTGCATATCGTTGATCAAAGTAGAATTTATGGTTTTGATATGATTTCAGTAGTCCATATTCATAAACGCTAAGGTCAAGTCACGTTTTCCAAGACCCAAGTACACTATCTTCACGCTTTTATTGAATTGGTAACACAACTGCATGTATTTATTATCTACTGTGATAACAAGTTTGATAACTATGCGCGTGCACATGTATGTTCTCATAATCTGACTTATTGGAAATACTATGTTTTGAATAAATGTAAGCCCTGTGCTAAAAAGTATATGAAAACTAGAGAAAAGTACCATATTATTTACTACTAAGTGTACTTCTTGTCAACTGTTAAAAAAAAAGTAACATTATTTTTTTAGGATAATGGTCAGTTATTTTCGGATGTTTAGGATGGTTATTATAAATTGCCTTGCACTTTGTTATATGCAACGGAGGTAACTTTTAAATTCCAAAGATATATTGTACTTAGTAAGTTTATATCACCGAAATTTTGAAGGCATACTTTTATGATACCAAGTAAATGAGCAGACGGGTCATTGACTTGGTATGTGACGATGGAAAGTACTAAGGTGAAGACGGAAGTGACTAATGCTGCTCATAAACACCTAAACTCAAGTCACAAGCGCTTTGCCAGCCTTTGAGGTGGTACATTTCTTGCAGGTTTGAAGGTCGTAGTTAGGCGATAATTTTTTTGTCCTTGGTCAACATATGCGTTGGTGTACATTTATCCTAATTTACCTACCTATCACCTATCAAGAAAAATCTGTCTCTTTTATCACAAAATTATGACAAAAAGTATACTCAATTTATAAAACTTAAAAAAAAGTGACAGAAATTGACTTTTAATATCGACGGATGATCGACGAATTTTTATTTAATTACAATAAAAATATAACTTAGAAAAAATCACATTAAAAAGTAACTACTTTAGGAAGCATTCAGGAATATTAAATAAATGACAATAGATAATTATGTGATGAATGGTGAATCATATTATGAAAAAATTACTTACTTGTTAAAAGTAAATTTACAAACATTTTACAAATTAAAAAAACAAATTTACGACTTGTTTTGAGGATTTTGTGGCAAAATACTCCAAATCCTTTTAACTGGTTTTTCCCGAAGCGAAAAGGCATATTAAATATTATTAATAATAAAACAAAATCCATCTATAAGGTTATAGAATGAAAAGAGATCAAGAGAAACCAAGGCAGTTATATGAGTTCTAGAACTACCTCCAAATAATAATAAAACTGTTATAACCAATAAATATGTGACTTAATAATTAAGTCTAATTCTCACACAATTTAAATTGAGAATATTAATTCCTAAAACAGCTTAATAACTTGATACTAAAAAAAATCTTAATCCAAGAGCAACATAAATGATTATAGTATTTCTGTAAATAGGAATACATAAAATAAATGTACAAATATAGCAAACCCGTGTTGTATATTATACCTATATAAACCATTAATTACATTTCAATGCGAAAAAACTATGATGCCATCGTAATGGATAGGACGTTCAAAAAACAGATTAAAGTTATACGACGACGACGAGGCAATATACGTGTTACAATGTAGTTATAATTTTAATTCAAAAATGCACAAATGTTTTTTTTGTTTTAAAATTGAGATACTGGCCACCTAACAACGTTGATATCGTATGGGTGTCCAAGCAGTTTCCCTTACCTAACAAGTGTTAATGACCTACCTGAAGATGCAATACAGTACCAAAGATGCAGAATATAGGTGTGGTCACCATGTAATTGACACATTGGAAGTTTGCAATCTGTCACCAAGTTACCGGATGCTATAAAGGCTTTGACTGATTACATTTTATCACTAGAAACTACCATGTCTAAATCATTCCAAAGTACTGCAAAAACATTATTGTCAATAAAACCTCCACAAACTTAAATTGCAAGTGAAATTTAATTTTTGAAACATAAAACAATGATTTTATCACAGGATTTTAAGTTTAATGTGATTAGCAACTCCTAAAAATTTTTTTACAAATATTTCTCAAATTTTCTATTTCATTTCAAAACGATTTTTTCCTAAAAACTTGTTTACACGTAACTTAATACTGATGACACAACCATGAGAATAATAATATTTTACACCTCTCATTACACATAGATAAAGGTACATTCTTGGGCAAAACATTACATTTAATGAAATGAAAATTAAACAATGAAAATGTTACCATACTTTGTAATAAGTGGCATTTAGAATTCCTACTCAGCTTTACACTAAAGCAACAGCGCTTTTTATTATGTACATAAATACATAAACCTATTTAATAAACTGTGATATATATATATATTTATAGAAACAGTATATCGGTGTTAAGACACGCATTAACTATTTATTACTTACAACTATTATTGTATTAAAGAACATAGATTAAATTCAAAACAAATTACCTATAATGTACTTCAATATAAAACAAACGTCTTGTAGTAGATTTTTTAAATTAATTGTTAAGAAATAAACTACCACCGATAAGGATCATCAGCATCGACAGGCTTTAGTAGTCCCCTGTTGGACATAGGCCTCCCCTTAGACAGGAGGTTTCGGCCTACTATACCACGCTGGCCAGACGAGTTAGTATAGGGTTTGTGTCAAGTTTGCCTTCGCTTTGCAGTGCTGTTGTCCTGCGTAGTTTGCTCCCTTAGTGGGGTCTTACGACACCCACGGGATGGTTAGGGGTGGTGACACACCGTATTTTTAATGCGTCACTACACGTCGTTTACTTACTGGCCACATTATCAACTGAAAAGAATCATCTGTAAGTAGGAGGCGCTCACCTGACAACTGTCAGTTATGCTCTTAGTTTTTTAAAATTGGCATTTGAATAATCTATTCCCCTTTTTTATTTGGGTAAATTTTTTTTGAACTTATGTTATGAACTAGTTCAACAATCTAGATATCCAGATCCTAAGTTTACCTCGGCACGATAGGTTGTACTCGTCTTCGAAAAACGCCAAAACAATAACTTTTACCCAACAAATTTGTTTATACATCCTAAATAGGAAAATTTAGGGACATAATAATTTGATTTATAGAAGTTTTATTAAGGATACCATATAGCCGTTTTTATTTTAGTATCAAAATGTACAACCAAAAAGGGAAACGAATGTTTAAAGTACCGAAAACAGAAAGGTACCAAATAGCCAAAAACTTCGCAAATGTTCTATGGAATTACTTTCAAATCAAATATCAGTACTTATTAATTCCAGATTAGTAAATGAAACATCTCACACAGTTTTCAAGGTGAGATACTTGTTTATCACTTTGAAAAAACACAACTATAAAATCGTGACAATATAACTAACGTTACTAACCTATTTCTGTACAGACATTTACACATTAGCATAACTATAATTTATAACCATTTTCACTTTAAGTCTTCCTCTTCGTCTTCGACGTACAACAGGTCCTCCATTTTGGTCATGAACTTACTGTTTAATTCTTGGTCTACGCCTAAGGGTGTATTCTGTAAATAGTATAAATACATTGGACATTTTAGATATCTACGGGTGTTCGGTAAGTATTAATACAAGTAGTCTTCAGATTACTCGACGGATATTCGAAGTATAATGTAAATAGCTGGTAAAAAGTGTACAAATTCACACATTACATTTATATTCACTTCCTTCTGTTATCGTGGGTTATATCTCTTATTTAGTTTTAAATATTGTACTTTAATAAATTTTTACTTAGTGATATTTAGTCTAGTTTTAGTGACAACTAAAGTAATTTTTTTGGAGTTAAGTTCTATTCTATTGGTTCTATTGGAGTTCAGTTTTATTCAGTCATTAGAATTGAATGTTTATTCAATTCTAATGACTGAATAAAACTGAAAAAAGTCTACTTTAAGTCTTTTCTTTTACTCCGAGGGAGGCATTGCTCGTTTTGGTTAGGTTTTAACGAAAACTCCATTGGCTCATGTTTTAAGCTAATCAGGGTCTCCCCTAAAACGGCGATAATGTGGATTCGTCCATACTCGTATATTGTTCGTCTTAATCCCCCCACCTTAACGGACAACCGAAGTGAAAAAGAAACAGAAGTCTATTAAGTGATTCGGATACTCCATGGTGTCTGGAAGGTCAGGTTCTCACTTAAAACTCCAACATTAATGTTTGTTTTTTGAAAGTAGTATGATTGACTTTTTCCCGTTTAATAAACTACAATGCCAGCCATGCCTTAAATTCAGGCCTCGTGGGAATCAACATAGGTATCATAATGTTACTAATGGTTTAAAGGCTAAATACTTATACTGTTTTCAGTAACCAATGCCGAGAGCTTGGAATACAGTTTAACGAGCGCCTAGAAAATTGTTTTATAAACGTTATGGTAATTTAACAATGAAATAATAATACACTATTATTCCAGGACATTAACACAGCTCTTCCATCTATTTCACTTGGTTTTAGAACAAGGATATACATGCACAAATACATAATTTTTTACAAATACATTAGTAGACATCATACATAGCAATTCGCAGACTCATGCAAATAAATAATTAATACTCGTATATACATTAAAACTATGGTCTGATGGCAGTCTGATGACGCAGGCCAATGATCTGACGGCCGCACAACATAGCCAAAAAGATCATAATATCATTATTTCTTTATTTACTAATTCACAATAGTTTTGATGAGACAAGTCAAAAAAAGACAGTAGGTACCTACGAAGGAACAAGAAAGTTCTACAGTACCCAGCTATCTTAATCCAGGTAGTATCTATTAAAACAATGCAATCTTATAAACTTAGAGAGGTCGTGGATGTTTAGAGTGCGAGGACATCGGTTAAGTCTGATATTTGTCAAATCGGCAATTCGTCAAATTTGATATTGGTCAAGTTCGTCAATCCATCTTTTTGTCTAATTCGTGTACATGTGAGGTCGATGGAAACATTCGTTATGACTTTACATAATTTGAATAATTTGCAGCAACGTAAACTTACAACAGGGGAGCTACCAGTTTTGGACGCCTACCTATATTATAAAAATAGTTATTACATAAAAGTAATTTTACAGTATCTATGGTGAGGTTTAATCTGTTTTAATTTATTGTTACCTCATTTAAATCTGTTAGAAATAAAAATAGAATTAGACTTGACCAATATCGTCGCACCCGAGAACCTTGATGAGATGAGGAGATGCTAGTCTCCACATACCCATGTCGACTTGATGGATCATTTAAGACATCTACTCTAACATATTTCTTTACCTCCGTTCGCTGTTGGATTGTTATTTATTTCTATTTACAGGCGAAATACTCGAAAATTGCTCAGAAGAAGAATATTCAAGAACATGATTTTTTTTCCAGTTAATATTTCTTTTTTAAATTATTATCAGTAATTGTAAGAAAATACTGTATTTTTATTTTATTCAACACCACAAAAAGAAGACATAAAATAAAATAAGACACATGATTTACAAAACTTTATTAAGCAAAACACAAAGTGAGGCACAAACAACGCTGTGTTAACTATAATTTCATGCTATAATATATATTTTTATTATTGTGGGTACTCCAATTTTTTTTTTATCATGCAGTAAAAGAGTTTGTTCTGATACTTTTGGTACTATTGAACTGAATAATAAAATATAATATCTTAAAAAGATAAAAGAAAAATGTAGCTAATTACAGCTTGGAATGCAGTCAAAATAACGAATATACACAAAATATTACAAAGCAACTTGTACATGCACTATAAAGATTATCCAGACATTAAGTTCGTAAACAACAGTTTAGAAAAATAATGAATAATATGGAATAAATTCATGCAATATTATACATATTTCATGCAACAATTTATATCATGTTTTACGACAAGAATTGTCATCATGCATAAAATCTACTAATTTGTAGATTATTTTAGTTATGATCATACATACAATATTGTTTTTATAAAGCTGTAATGGACATAAAACACGCAGGTATCATTTTATTCATATTGGTTTAAAACAACCATTAAAAAAATGTGCACTAGCAAAATTCAAAGAATTAGTGACTCGATTAAAAGTAGCGAATAAGCAACAACACCCAATGGCAACACCGATAATTGAATTGTCATAAAAATAAAGAATGCTCAATATTATTACCGTAGTTAAGTTGTAATGGCAACACATTAAAAACCAAAAATGATTGTATTGTAGTAAAGTATAATTATAAAAAGAAAAACCAGTACCTTTATGGGATATTTAGCACGTTGAGCTAGGCTAGGATACATAATTATAATTGAGTATTAAAGTATCGACAACATACACGTCATTAATATTCTTAGCTGATTGAATAACGTGAAACCAATTATGAAATAAGTCTCCGTTGTTTTATATTTATACAACTTGTCGGCTAATACTAAAAAGCCTGGTTCACAGTATAGTGTCTTTATTTATAAGCATTATGTTATAGCGATGTTAAAAATAAATGAACTTCTGCATAGTAACCGGCACTACAATGTGAATCAGGCTAAGTCATGACCAATACTTCATTTAACTTTGTTTTGATGAAATAATTGATTTCGATAGAATAAAAGACGGCAATCCTAGTTTTGCCTAAGTTTGCCGTCTTTGATTCTATGCAATTTCTTTATTATCCTTGGCACACGATCAGTCTTAATAGTTGTCCATCATAGTTAACACATAAGTACTTAACAATTTAAAATCATATAATCACAGAAATGGATGGATATTTATTTATATAACTTGGTTGATTCGCTAAAATATGATTTAATCTATATTTTTGATTAATTCAGAACAACGAAGTAACACACTTTAATGGTGTCGGTTGGTTACTCCAATATATAAAATATTAGATACAAATTTGTAATTTAATTTTAATTACTTGCTTACTTACAGGAACAAAGGAAAATGCCATAACTTCACTACTAATAAACTAATAATTTACACTTTATTACTTATAAAGTATCTCCTTCGGGGATTAAGAGTAATAAATTTATTTATATAACACTTTATGCTCGTAAGTTTACGTACATAACTTTTGCGTTAGCTATACACCTATAGCTAAACATCAAAAGCTTCTTTACTTCTACTGGGCACGTTTCTAGGCTATTGCCAATTCCAGATTGCTGGTACATAAAATTTAATAAGAGGAAAACTAGAACAATTAATTCAGTTATGCATTTTCGAAACTGAATATTACTTTTAAACTGATTATTATTTGCATAATACGATAGTTTGACCACTCTTATTATTTTAAGTAATTTACTAATATATTGTAAAAAAATATTGTAAATCAATGTTCTTTGAAGAAAACTAATACTTCTGTTTCATGATCTTATAATGAAAATCTAAAACTTCAACATATATATAAAAATTGAATATGTATACGTAAATCAACCAAGTTGTATATTTTTAACAGATCACAGTTACAAAGACACACTAGAAGTATTAAAGCTTGTGCAATGGGATAGGCAGGACCGTTCAAAGCTAACAGAACCGCCGCGATGGTCTCAACGTCCAGTATTTATTGGGTTGCTGTGGGTCCAGACACTTGAATCCCGACTGAGGAATTGTAAATAGCGTTAAGATTTGATAATTCAATTCTTCTGTATACTGACAAAGAGGCAAATAAATACAACAATAAAAGTTGTTAAGAAAAGATTTCATGTAGAAAAAAAGTACTGCTCCCGAGGGATGGCAAAATACCGCCGTAACGGTAAGATGGTTTTTTATTATTACAACTTTATTTTAAGAGGTACGGAGGATGTATATTCATCCAAGTATTATTTTCCCTCTTATTTAAATTTATTAATTAAATGATGACTTTTAATCTTCAGTCTTCCATTTGAACAAACTATTGTATTTCGTTAAAATAATTTGCCATTATTTATGGAGCAAGCAAATCAAAATAAAAATTTAAAAATAAAGATTACCCAATTAACATGCAATATTATAAGACATGCAGCCATGCAATATATAGCTATAACATAGTATGAAATAATAGAGCATTCTTATTGTCTAAACCAGTGAGTTTCGATGTGTGAGTGATTTCATATTATATTAGATTGCATCCTATCCTCTTGATATATTTAGATTACATCATATTGATCGACAGTGCTGATTGCCGCTGAAGAATTTTTCTGGTGATTGTAAGGGAAAATTATTGCCAATTAACCCGGTGTTTGCAATCGAATTTTTTTTAGCATTTACATTTTGCCATTACGACATTTCCACAAAGCTGGGATCATCAATATTATTGACTACGATACAAATCAATCGATTGTAACTGAATCTCAATTAGTCGATGATCGAATTTATTAGTGATCGTTTGATAGCTCGATATTACTATGTTGTCATCTTATTAACTGCTTCACGCTGGCAGCGCATCTGCTGGCTATGAGCAAATTATATACTCATAACATAAAGAAAAAAGAGGGTTACCGTGGCATAAACAGTGGCAAACTTGAGGACTTTATCAGCGACTCGTCTATATTAGCGTCCAGTACAGACGAACACATACTTACAAGGATGTCCAGCTTAGGGAACAGCATCAAACAGACGAGCACGGTAGTCATGCTGTCGCAGTACAGTTCACCCGTGGCTCAGTTGGGCCTTACACAGCGCTACATCAAGGGACGATAGCTTCAGATATGAGTCAGTGAAGTGTATACTTACGACAGTGTCGAGTCTAGGGAAGGGCGCTAGACAGACGATCAGGACGGTCATGTTGTCGCAGCCCAGGCCACCCGTGGCGCAGTTGGGAGCCAGGCAGCGCTGCATCAGCGCCTCACAAACCGCCGATGGCTCCCACCCGTTCAGAAGCCGACCGCGGCAAAATGATACCACTTCCTGTAGACAATTTAACAAAGTCTTTTAGGACACACACTACGGTTGGTACAAATATCTGTGTCATTGAAATTGTGATTACATTATTAATGCGTTAAAGATATGTTTTTGAAATATTAGCACTTTTTGTGTATGTGGAGCAACACAAAAATTGTTGCTGCTGTTCACATCTGAACACATCTGTTCTGTTGTAACAAACAGCACTTAATGTGTTTCAAGTATTATTAATTTTATAGTTATGTACCTATATTAAAGTTGATATTGTAAAGCGTGTTTTAAGCTGCTTAAAATTTAAATTAACTATGTACTGAACTAAAAACGGGGATCAGTAAATGGTCAGTAATCTTACTGTTGCAATCCTCTAGGTTAAGCAAATTTGTCAAAGCTGTCGGTCCTCCAAGTTATAAATAAAAAACAAAACCAAATAAACATCCAACCGTACGTTGGATATTTATTTGGTGCAATGCTGTAACGTGGTATTGTTTAAAAAAAAACAAAATAATAGATACATGATTTCGTTATGAAACACTTTGTTTCGTGGATGTTGTTATAACCAGTGAGACACTAAGAATATCTGAATGTTCTAAGATTAATACTAAACCACGCACAGGACTAGTCACCTTACGAAGAAAAAATAATATATTATGCAACATTATTTAAACAAATTTAATTTAGCAGAAACGAAATTCTAATTCTAAGAAATTCTAAGAAGATGGATGGGTTATGGTAATTCTAAGAAAGAAGATGAGTTATCTACTTACTTCCTTACTTGAGGAGCCAAAATAACAGGCATAAATTTGAAGCTACGCAATTACAGAAGTATTCAATTTGGGTTTGTATACTATTTAAAATATGAAAGAAGTCATTGCATTTTAAAAAGAGCTAACTAACCTCGTTACTTAGCACTTCCCAGATGCCATCGCACGCTATCACTATAAACTCCCAATCTTCGTTCAGTTGCCTCACTTGGATGTCTGGGTATGCTGCAAAAACATGAAAAATAATACTGTGAAAAAAGGAAGCTAGTGTCCAATTTACATGATATAGAAAACTCAATATTTATTCAAAAAAGGCAGGCGTTAGAATAAGACTACGTATTTATAATTATAATTTAGTTACGTTGATAATCTCCTTTTTGTATAAAAGACTTTTTAAACATTACAGGGACATTTAAACAATTGAGTCATTTTGCATCTGTGGACATATCATACGCGCATACCGTCGTTATACTAAAATGTTACAATTACCGCATGTATTGAGAAGTCTTTGTCTTCAATAGTTTGTATAGTGAAACAAATAGGTAATAGAAATATATTATAATTAATATTATCTGGAAAGGTGCATGGGGGACAGCCGGTGCACGGTTAATGCTAGGTCAGGGCACGATTTAGGAAAAATGAAAGAAAATGTGCTTATTTTGTACTCCTGTAAACTACAAAAGTGAGCATACATTAATATTTAAATACATAAATTAAACAAACTAAAATTTACATTATGTATATAATAATTACCTAAATTACTTAAAACTAAACAGAGACAAAAACGGTTCATAGCTCAGCATCTTCTTAGTAAAGAGTCGGCGCAGATTTCGTAATATTATTGGTGTGCATTTATTTCTAGCCCAAAATAAGCACATATAAAACTAATTAATTATTAAAACCGGCAATGCGACATGAATTATTCCCCTAAATGAGCGTTTCTACAAAAAGAATCCGACGAATGAGAACTTCCTCCTCTTTTTGAAGTTGGTTAAAAATCAACAATAAGCCTATTTTAGTCCATTGCTGAATATAAGCGTCTCCCTAAGTGCACCATAGCTATCTGTCCTCCGCTTTCCGCAAAAATAATTATAACATACAAAAATACCTGTAACAATTTGTTCTTGGGGAGACAGCCGGTAATTCCTCTTGAATACATAGTCGCCCAGCGCTCTGGACAATGCTAGATTCCCATTGACCCTGTTGAGTTGCACCCACCCGCCCCCAGCGACGATTCGACGCAACTCTTCTTCGTTATTGGGCTTGTGATCGTATGAGAGCACTTCCACCTGCTAGTAGTTTCCGACCTTATTATTATCCTTCAGGCGGAGTACGTCGAAATCGTAAGGAATAGATCTGTTTCTTTCTGAGTAGGCAGTTTTTGAAAACGGCAGCTATGCTTCTGTACACTCGTTTACACAATCGAAGAGAAACAGACCTATTTAGAAACTGACTTCTTACGAATTTGACGTACTCCGCTTAAAGGTTTATTACGTTTAGTAAATCCAAAATTAATTTGACGGCCTCATGGCGGAGTGGTGGTTTGTGTAACGGACTGCTACGCCAAATGTCGCGGGTTCGATTCCAGCTCAAGTCAAACATTTATGTGCATGAATATATAATGTTTGCTTTGGTCTGGGTGTTTCTATGTATAATATGTATGTATTTACAAAAAAAGTATACAGGGTGTAAGGGACGTTGTATATATAACGAATACTGAAAAAGTGTATTCAGACCAACATTCTGAGTCGAAAACCATTGGAATTATTTGCCGGAAAATTAAACTTTTTATACTATCAGCTGTTAAAGGTTAAGGTCATTTCCGGTAAGTATAGCACAGAAGTAATAACTACATGTGTATACCGTGCAAACAGCTACGCATACTAACACAAGTTGGCGGCCGGGAAGGAGGCCCCGCGCTTCGGCTCTTTGATTAACTACATTGCAGTTTTTGACCGTATGCGGTATTTAATAAATTGTTTTCGGTAAAATGTTCTGTTTACCGATTGTGATATCATTTTTTTTATCATTTTAACCAAAAAATGGCAAATTATAAAAAAAAATAAAAAAAAAACCGGCAGAAAATTCCAATGATTTTCGACTCAGTATCATGTTCTGAAGTCTGAATACCCAATTTTAGTATTCGTTACGACGTTCCTTACACACTGTATATGTATTTATATCAGTTGTCTAGTACCAATAGGTAGCATAGTGTGAATGTGGTGGATTTTATTATTTTTATTGACGAGTCCTCATAGGTCGTTGTACATTTCTTATATTTTTTCCAAAGGTCTTAATGACTTTTTTAAATTTAAGGGAGCTTAGATTGTTCGGTCTATTGCTTACATTCCCAATACATCTTTTAAAACAATATAACTCTCATTCTATTCCTGTATACTTTCAATTATCCTATAATCAAATTACTAAATTATCCTTTGAAAGCAATTCGTTTGCCCTATACGTAATTAGCAGCAAATTATAGCAGAAATGTGGGTGTTGGTTGATGCCCTCTGCTATACCCCGGGATACAGGTGTGAGTGTATGTAAGTATATTTGAACTTTGTATCAGTCTTACCCCGCCTCGAACACTGGCGATCGCTCTGGAGTCACCGACGTTGGCGCAATATAGCGTGTTTTCTTTAATAAGTACCACGACGGCTGTACTGCCAGCTACTTTCTGCATCAACATGTCTTCTTCAAGCATCGCCTGGTCCAGGTCTAGGAAACCCTGTAATTATGAAAAGACGTAATCTTCAGTGTTAAAAACAAGATTTCAGACACTGCGGTAGGACATTCAACAGTTATGTTTAGAGTCGCGGGTTCGATTTCCGCGGTTAGTCTCTATAATAAAAAAGACAAAAGTGTTTCGGAAGTTGTGTGAGGTGTCTATAGTATACTACCTGCGCCCCGCAGTGTTACCCGCGGTTTATCAGATACCTACACTAAAACGAAGTAAAGAGTATCAAATATATTAAAATTCCTTGCTCATCCCATGGACAGACTACATTGTTTCGGAATGAAAAGCCTACGTGTTAATCCAAGTTGTCAGTTAACTCCATACCAAATTTTATCAAAATTGGTCCAGTCGTTTGAGCGTGAAGAAGATAAGTTACAAAACATTCAAACACACGCACACAATTTTGACCTTTTTACTATTATATTAGAGTGATATATGACTAGTGACTTGGCTGTTAAATGCAATTTGGCTTTGGTTGATGTCCTTGTATGTACGATGGAACAGACTAGCCCTCATATTTTAATAATAATTGTCGTCGGTGGAACAATGTCAAGACGCAGTTAGGTACCAGAACATGTAGCTACATACTACCTAAAGTTCCCAACGGTTTAGAAGATAAAAGAGTTTAATACATAAGAGATAAATACATAAGATCCAGCCAAACATTTTTCGAAAATAATGAAAAATTACCTCCTAGTGCAGATAGAATACAATCATATACTAGATTAGTTGGATAATTCCTATTGTAAAGATAAACAAAGCGAACTTCCAAAAAAAGCGAACAAAGTTTAAAACAATAGAAAAAGCGCAATTCCTTTAAAATCGATTGTTAAACATTTAGATCAATCATTAGTCTTTAAATTGAGAGGCTAAAATTTTATAACTTTGTGTTTATATTTTAACATATGAGACCAAATGTCTTTGTTATCACCAGAACGTTTTGAATAAACACATAATGATCTCATGGCTGATACAATATATAAATTTTTTGTGCATTAACTTTCATTTTTAATTTTTAACTTAATGATGTTTACTACAACCAAGGCTTCCAAATAGATTAACTATTATATCAAGGCAATCATCACTTGTTCATTACAGAGACTACATTAAAAATAACTTGGTATACCTTATACAATGCCGTCTAATACCAAAATAGGCTGACAATGTGCTATGGTAACCAGTCTGCTGATAAAACCTAGAGCCAGACCATCAGGTCAGTCAAAATCTACACTCCTAAATCCGTATATTTAAAAAATATTAATACGACACAACATTTTTTTTTCATGTTAGAGGGGGCGGACGAGCAGACGGGTCACCTGATGGAAAGTGACTATCGCCACCCATGAACGTCTGCAACACAGGAGTCACAAACGCGTTGCCGGCCTTTTAGGAAGGAGTACGCTCTTTAACAGTTTTAGAGTATATTGTTTTTAATTGTATTATTTTGATAAAAACGTCAGGTATGAAACCCATTGTGTACTAAAAGGCAAATGTATTCTCTCATACGACACCCTTAAGCAGGTAAACTTTTTTTCATTCGACAATTCACAAGAGGTACAAGAGTGTTCAGAATGACGTTCAGAAGAATTTTTATACTGTTTTGACGAATGCCGCATTTAACTACGCACCTCCATATTTTATGGCGCGTTACGTAACTTGATATCTACCGCAGTTTACACTGACCAACAAATGTGTATTTGCCATATTTACATAAATGTGTAATTATAACCGACGATGACGTGTGGTATTTTTACGAAAGAATATTAGTTATGCTGGCCGTAAATAGTTACTTAACATGCTTGGATATTTATTTTTAACTACAAATTTATAGATTTTTTAAAATGTTTTTGCTTTTGTGGTCTAAGCTCTAAGATGTTCTACGATGAGGAGCCGACTTGAAACTTACCTGTTTTAAAGCCTCTTCTATATTTCCTAAGTGATATTCTGGACGAGCTGTGATAAATTTATGCAGGTGTTTCCCAGCATATTCTGCTATGTTGGCTCCTGTAACAATCGATGATGATAAAAAAAACGTAGTTTTCTTTTACTTTGTTTGAGTAACTGTCATAATCGAAGCATTGAAAATACTAAAAGATAATCGAGTTGATTGTTTTAGTGTACCTACTTAGATGTATCATCGTGTGTAATTTATCTATAATATCTATGTATTTACAAATATATATGTATCAGCAGTCTGGTTACCATGGTACTGGCTCTGCCTAGTTTGGGAGAGGACACTCATGTGTGAGATTCAGATTGCAAAACAATTTATAATCTGAGTCTATGATGGTATTAATTTTTATATTTTTAAATATAGGAAACTCATTCGTGCAAAATATCCTTACATATTATAAAATTAAGTCTCTCGGCCGCGTCTGTCTGTCTGTATAAACGCGATAAACTCATAAACTACCAAACTGATTTTTGTACGGGTTCAACCAATAGATAGTGTGGTTCCTAAGGAAGGTTTAGGTTTATGAGTCATGTAGGTTTTACATAAATTGACTGAAACATAACGATTATTGTTGAAGAGGTCGCAAAAATCTAATAATATATAAACCGGGAGAAAAAAGGATCACGGTTACCGAAATCCACGCGGGCGAAGCTGCTGGCTAGTCTCGAATATAATAAAATCAATAACCGATATAAAAAATATTTAAGTTAACATGTATAGAAGCAAATTGACGAGATAGTTATCGCGATAGTATATTAATAAAATTATCATTTCATTACTGTGCTAAGGAATAACTACAGAAATAACTGTGTTTAAGACAACAAAACGAAAGAAAACCGCGTGCGGATGTTTGCCGGCAAAGATGATAGTAAGACGCACAACAGAAAACTTAATAAAAACCTTTAAAATTTGAGCCATCGCAGGAAATCTGGCAGATGTGAAACATCCATTAATTTAAAAAAAAAATGTAGCACCATTCAAAATATAACACCCCATTCCACCACATTAACGTTAGGGACATATACTATGACATAGAGCGGCGACGCGTCGCCACGTCAACAGCTTAATTGCAATAAGCTGTTTTTATCATACTAAGTTCTCTAACTTAGCAGCGCAATATTTTCTTCGAATTCAAATTGACTGAATAGTCGAGTTGAGTACCTCGTCATTCATTACTTCGGTTGAAGAGAGAGAATTAGCTTATTAGAAAATTTATATTATGTTTTTCTTAGAGTGACACATTTTAGTAGATTTAGATTAGATCACTTTGTTCGTCTTTTAGTTCTCTGTTTATTGTTTTTCAATTGAAAGTAAAATAAAGGCTTGGTAAATCATACGTGGGTATTAAATTTGATGATGAATCATTAATAGGCCGTTTACACGCATGGCGAGGATCGACAAGTGTCCACAAACACAAGCGTGTGAACGGGGTGTTTGGCTAGGCTCACTTATGCTCATCTTCGATCGGTACTAGTTTTTGAACACATCAAAGGAAGCTTGCGACAAGCGTTTGAGACGTATTTACACGTTGGCGCGTGCTTGTTCCCTACTACTCAATTTGATATTCGGTTAGCAGTCAGGAATCAACATTAAGTCTCAATGCTCTACTGATTAAGTTTTGAATCAAAGTATGTCCACGTCTGTTATGTTTGCCTGTCAGGACACGATAGCACACTCGCAAGCGTGTAAGTGGCATCCAAGCGTTTGTAAAGACTTGGAGCTTGTGGGCGTTTGCCAAGCTCGGCACGCCATGTAAACTAAGACAAAGCATAAATATGAGCTTCTATTTAAAACCTACCTACATATAGACAGAACAGCATTTAAATGTTATCGCTTTGTTATAGTTATCTTAACTAGTGTTGTAAATGACTAAGTGAGTTTGTTTGTTCAGTTGTTTGTTTAGCTATCATTGGATTATGATCATCATTTTGTAACCTGTTACACAGCTAATAACCTTTATCAATTTTATTCTTCTCAATAATTCAACTCTATCCAATAAAACAGAATTAGTCAAATGTGACCAATAGTTTTTAAAGATTATCCTTACAACAATGAAGTATAAAACTCTTCAGTTTAATTAAATTATCATAAATTTGGTACTTCCTTTTTGATATTGGTATTGGTGGTGGGCTTCGGTTTCCACATTTAGACTCAAGAACAGTCCTTTACCAGTTGTGGTAAGTTTTTCTAGGTGAGACAACCCAGATCTTTCCAGAAGCGCAGAAGCCTCCTGGTGCATTCACCGACTTCTAGGAGTGATTTCGTATAATTCTACTTCCTTAGAATAAGCTCAGTTGGTACAGCTATTCTATACTTACCTCCATGACCATCATATACTGCAAAGAATGCCGTGCCAGGGTCTTCAGGCAGTGATAGTATGTGAGTGTGAGAATCATCCATCGACACTCTCCATCCTTGCATGCAGGAAGAGGCAACAAGGTACCGTGAGTCCTGACATGTTGCCGACTGCTTCTCCGTCACAGGTTCTGATAGGGTCTGTCCCATTACTCTGAAAATTAATTGTTCAATTACGAGGGGAGGTGAAAAAGTTCGTGGAATTGAGGGGATGGAGTGCGGATAAGGGCGCTCGCTTAGTGTCACACTAATTGGGGACTCATTATTAGTATATAAATTAAGTTTCAGCCCTATTGCTTCATTCGTTTACGAAAATTCGCCTACTAAACAAGTCTATCCGTAAGAAAACAAACTATGGAGAAAATTGAACACCGTGCCATAAAATTCCTTACCAAGCTGACCATTTTGAATGAAATGCAAACCGTTTATGGGGGACAGTGCCCTAGTAAATCAATTATTTACAAGCGGCATGGTCTTTTTAAACATGGTCGGGCGTCGATTGAAGACGACCCCCGCCCAGGAAGGCCAGTTGAGACCACCACATCAGACATCGTCGAAAAAGTAGAAAAAAATGTACTGGAGGACAGCCGTTTGAAGAAAAAATAGTTTAGTTGGAGTCTCAGATACCACCATTTTGCGAATCCTACATGACCACCTGGACCACCCGGTATGACAAAAGTCAGTGCAAGATGGGTACCGAGAATGCTCACGCCGCTTCAGAAACAACAGCGCGTCGATGCGTCAAAACAATTTTTGGAGTTGTGTGGAGACGAACCTGAAAAGATTTTGGAGCGGATTGTTACCGGAGATGAAACATGGGTTCATGACTTTGAGCCTGAGTCCAAACAAGAGTCCATGCAATGGCATAAAAAGGGTACACCACCGCCAAAGAAATTCAAAGTGTCGGAGTCTGCTTGAAAGTTGATGTCTACTGCTTTTTGGGATTGTGAGGGGATAATACTCATTGATTACGAAGAAACGAGAAGGACCATAAGCGGAGAATACTACGCAACGATACTAGAGAAATTAAAAGAGGCCAAGGGTGTGTTGCTCTTGCAAGACAACGCGCCGGTTCATAAGAGCAGAGTTGCAATGGCTGCTCTGCATAAGCATGGCTTCGAAACACTGGTCCACCCACCCTACAGTTCAGATCTGGCCCTAAGTGATTTTTATTTATTCTCCAATTTATAAAAGGCTTAAGGGGAAGGAAATTTTCCGACGACAATGGAGGAGGCAATTTTTGCTTATTTTGAGGCAAAAGATAAAAATATTTTTATGTTGGTTTAGAAAAATTTATTCATAGATCTAATAAATGTATTTAGCTTAAGGGTGATTATATTAAAAAGGAAAAATAGATTTATTGTTTCATTTTATTTAAAACCCTTTCATTCCAAGAACTTTTGGACCTCCTCTCGTAATTAACATAGTATTTTACATACTTCATATACAAAGAGTTTTTTTAGTGTATCTGTCTGTTACCTCTTCATGCTTAAACTGCTGAAGAGATTTATATGAAATTTGGAATAAAGATAGTTTCATTCCTAGAAAAGGACATAGGATAGTTTTAATCCCAAAAATCATCCTTCAAAATGGTAAAAAGGGGGGTGAAAGTTTTTATAGGGAATCAATGACATTTGAACTGGTTTAGATAAAATTGTTGCATGGTTGATTCTTGAGGAAGGACATAGGCTACTATTTACAGCGATAACGGACATGCAAACAGGCAGAGCCGCAGCCACAGCTTAGCTATTGTTTATAGATTGACACCTGCATATCTGATATAATAATAAATTAAATTCACAAAGCAATCGATTGTTAACATTTTGATTCAGTTAAATTGAGTCTTTGAGAAATGTTCACTACGTTGGTGAAAATTACTATACATTATAGTATACATTAGAGGCATATTATCAGATGGAAATAAAATTGAATTTTGTAGTCTGCACAGTCATAACAATTTTTTTTTAAAAAGACAACTCCCGCATTAGGAATAAATCCTGTGTCGCGGGGGACTTTACAAACATACATGAAACGGACACAACGAACACCCAGACCAGAACAACAATTTGTGGATCACACAAAGTGTCGTCCGATGTGGGGCTTGAACCCACAACACTCGGCGTAGTAGGAAGCGGCGTGGTGACCGCTTAAACCACTACGCCATCCGCACGCCATTCAATTATCACTCAATCAAAAACATATGTAATGACATAACCAATTATATAACTATAATTTACTTAGCGTCTACATATGCTAACTGTTATTCAAAGAATACAACATGTGATTAAATTTGTAATAAGTCTTAAGATTGTTGTGTTAATTACTATCTGTCGTGTCGTATCTGTGTGTACTTTTGTGTCGTAAGAGTCGACTAAGGGAAAAAACTATGCAGAACAGCAGAGAGAAAGAAAACTTGACACAAACCCTATTCCAACTCGTCTGGCCAGCGTGGTATAGTAGGCCAAAACCTCCTTTCTAAGGAGAGGCAAATATAACTTCATGAACAGCCTACTGTACCACTCTGGCCAGACAGGTTGGTACAGGTTTTTTTTTTAAGTTTTCCTTCTCTTTGCAGAGCTGTTGTCCTGCGTGGTTTGCTCCCTTAGTGCCGACTAACAACAACACACATGGGATGAATAGGGGTGGTGATCCTTCGTATTCTTAATATTTCACTACATGAACCACCAAATATAACCTAATATATTTAAATATTACTATTGAAAACACAATGCTTAGATAATTTACTTTTTAAATTGGTGATAAATTCAGTAAATGTGCAATAGAAATAATTTATTTTTGTGATGAACAGCACAGTTGTAAAACATTTTGTATGTTTGACTAATGAAATCAGGTGCCTAATGAGTGAGGTAAATTAGTGTGCTCTATGCATCCAACAGTCTTGATAATATAAGTTCTATGTTCTCTCTCTTCATAATAAAAAATACTATTATGTGTAGTATGTATTTTAACTAGGTAACTAAAATAATGTGATGTTATGGCCTTGTACTACAAGGTCTAAAGATTCAGTATAAGACTGGAATGACAGCTTTTTTTTATGAATGCTTTTAAAATACTGTTTTTTTTCAGTAATTGTAAATTAAAATCTCAAAATAGATATAATGACGAATATTTAGCAGAACTGTCAATGCAGTGGCAGCAGTGATTGTATTGTTTGGAAATGGTAATCTTGGCCATTATTGCTAAAATATCACGATATGACTAACTTCTGATGTCATGTTCTTTTTAAGAAAAAAACTATAAAACAGCACTTGCAAGTAACATATGAATACACTAAATAATGCACAAAGTGCAGTATTTATTAAAACCATTACTTATCTGATAATAAGTGAAGATTAGAAGATTATTATCACAGAAATATGATGAAAATCAGTAACTTACGTGCAGTGTTTTTAAACACAAACGTAAAAAAAAATGCAAATATCTTTAAACACACTTGTGCCCTAAAGTAAAAAATGTTATTCGTTACTATATTCTTCTCTTTGGACAATTTGAAGTATATTTTTCATTAGATACACTGAAATGCGTAGGTAAATAAAATAGAATGCAGACATAGAAACGTCAAAGTGACACTTTGCATTTAATGTTACAAGTATGTATTTTTTTTTCTAAAAATGTTTCGTAGCTTCTGACGATCGGTTTACCTTTGACCAAATTACAAACAGAATAAAAATGAGCTAGAATAAAAATTAGCTAGATTAAAAAAATTGCAGGTATTTTAATAAAATAAAATATTTAATTAAAAAAAAAATACAAAATGTTTTCGATCCTTCTTTTTATATATATAATAGAATATTACCTTTATGTGATAGATGGTAGATAGATATTTAAATTATTTTCAGACATTACATAATTATGTAAACACTAACCTAAGATATTCGTAGGTTGTAGATGCCATTGCCGTACCAGGATAACTTATACAGTTTTACAAATATTTATACTTTTAAACCATCCATTACCTTCTACATCTACATTTCCGGTTTAATGTTCTTCTAAATTTTCCAACGATCTTTAGTTGGCAAAGTACCTACTTAGTTGGTCAAAATAGACTTAGATAATTTCCTTTATGGCGTAATGGAAAAAATATATGGCTATTGTGGGTGTTTAAAACGCGTCTACTAGTATCGGGAGAAGAGCGTGAATGTATGTATAGAATTCCTTTCTCATAAATGTACCAAGTATCTCACTGAATCAACCAAAGAGTGACAAATACCTACTCATAATATTTGGTAGCTCAAGCCCGTGCAGTGTAAAATGAAGGCAGAATGAAATAATTAAAATAAGACATGAGTAAAAAAAGATGATTAGGTATTTCTACACTTCGTGTAACATTCAATAGAAGATAAGCCGTAACAGTTTGTGAAATAAAACAATCGTGAATGACGTCGGTAAAACTGAATTAAAAAATTATCGAAGAATATAAAGTTCTGCAGACTATCTCACAAAGCCAGGAACAGAATGAAAAAAGAAGTAACTGCCGACTTCAGCTGGGTTCATTACACGCCTTTTGGCTTGTTGTTGTGACTAGTCAAGGGTCTTACGAAACTAGGTAGTTCTTGACTCGTTATCGACTAATATCTTTGAATCCAAGGAAAGTGTAACATTATTTGAAAGGAAGAATATGTAGAATAAAAAGAATGACTCGCCTTATAATTTTTGCTACTCCAAACATATCGCTGTAAACATTTGGATACTGGAATTTAAAAATTGTTAGATTAAATCCAAGTACACCATGTGATCCAAAATGCACAAATTTGCCTAAAAGGCTTAAAAATAACTCAGACAATTTTATATAAAAAATCTTTACGTAATAAAATATAAAAAAAACATAAATCTTTTATAAATAATTGACAGCACGTGTGGCATCTACTTGGTATAGCTCACCAAGGAGTTATTGAGTACAACAATAATGTTTTCATTTTATTTAAGTTTTCGAATCAACTTCTGATGTAATGAAAAATATTTTATGTAACAAGAGGGAAACGAGAAGCAGACACGTCACCTGATGGTAAATGACTACCGCCGCCCATAGAGGCACGTATCTCAAGACACAAATATGTTGTCGCTCTTTGAGTGCTCCTTCTGCCTAGATGGGAGGGGATGGGCAGAGTTAGGCTTCGGTCACCTCACTCACTCGGTGAAAACCAAACAATTGCATATTACTGGTTTTCTTTGTGGTTGTGGTATCACCAGGGAATTAGTACAAATGTATAATATATGAGGTGACTATGGCGGTGGACATTACAGTGTTATAGCGTTGCATGCAGATCGAAATAAAATTCAAAAAAGCAGGTCAGGGCTGCTTCACTGAAATTTTAACTCCTGCTCAGACTCTTTTTCACTTCACACTAAAACTTTTATGCAATTATTTATTAGCCACTAAAAAAATCCTGTTACCTATGTGTTTATTATAATATATTAACTAGCTAAAGGGCCTCTTAAAAGGCGCTACAAGAAATTAATTTGCCGCTGGAAATTGTTTTTCGGATTTGATTTTGTTTGAGTCTTATCACCAGTCGCCTAGAGCAACTGCTTCATTTATGAAAATGAAAATGAAATTCTACTTGACACCACTACGGCCTTTCAATATGAAGTCCTGGTAACCAGCCCTCCTACTGCCAATATCCTAGCCACTTGCTAAATAAATGCCACTATGATAATATCTCAAAGATATATGTACAAAGACCGCAACTTCGGTTAAGGTTCGATTAAAATTTCTTTAAGAATTCTGTTCTTCAAGGATGAACATTTCTTTATGCCAAACGAATCTTTGAAAGGTTCGCAATTTACCAAATTGACTGGGTGGATCTCCTAGTTTGAGTATCGATAAAACAAAATGTAGCTAAAAAACATAATTCGGTGCCCAGAAAAATATAGGTCGCCAACTTTCTAATGCTAGAAAATGTTAAATCAATATTTGGGTCAATATAACCTTGAATTTTATTATGATGCATACTTTTATTAGCTACATAAACTGGCCATTTGAGTTTTTACTAGTGTTCCCGGCTGTAAAACCAAAAATCGGTTCGAGAGGAGATGAGATATTATTATATCGTGGAGCAATTATTCTGTTTATAAAAGTGTGACGTCATGCTGTGCGTTTCAAACAGAGTTTACTCCTCTAAACGTACTGGTACTTATTCTAGAGAGGTTTCAATAATATTTAAATCGTTATAGATATAAAATTGTAATTAAACTAATACTTATTTCTGTGGTCCTTTGAAGCTCTAATGTTGCCGTGTTTGTCACATTACACCGTAAATATATACACAATTTTTTCCAACAATTCCTGAGCTTGTAGCTGCAAGGACGGGTGTATGTTACTTTCGAAATGTGTATGTTACTGACTGTTATGTTATAATCGCAATGACTGGCCCGTTACTCTAGTGGCTAGTGCTTCCAACTCGATTATACTCTACGTGGTGGAGGTCTAGAAGGGGGAGCGACTTAGAGTATAGGGAAATCGGAAGAGACTAGCAAACTCACAACGTAGATGCGCACTGAGGATAGCATGTGCCTGAGGCGACAGTGGTCAATTCTGATGCAATTCCAATTCCCTTCTAGGTTTCGAGAGGAGGCGTATCGTTAGAACTCAAGATGGCGAGGAGAGCTTAGCGCTCTGGCAAGGATAGTGCGAGTCTCGGCTTGGAAAGTGGACTTACACTGAGCTTCAAAAAACTGTGGTCTGTCCTGTGATTAGAGAGACCAGTAGGACATTAGCCGTATTTTTATTATTGACTTTTATTATATCTTCCTTTTGTTCATTTAATTCTTAATTTTACTTGTTGCATCTCATATAACTAAATGATATTTACCTTACATTAACCGTTACTTAAAGTTCCGTTTTTCAATCATTTTCTACTAACTACTGCCTTAGTTTGACAAGGTATCCTCTTCCCAAAATATTGTACTGCCCTGAAAACGAGCATGCAAAATTGATAGGTGGAGTAGTTTGAAAACAAATTTACATTCGCATTAATTACATTAGTTTGAAGATTTAAGTTAAAAAAAAAACAAACGAAATGAGCTAATGAAATTAAGTCCAAATAAGCTATTCATTACTAGGTCTTAACATTCAAATAAATGTAACTCCAGACGTATTTGCCCTTGATATTTTTCAGTTGTATACAAACATCACGCGCCGGTATCGAACTGGGTTCATGTGGGTGACACCGCACTAATTGGATCATAGAGGGTTTTGTTTACGGGTGGAGTTAGTATATAAAGTAAGGTGGGGATGTACAAGCGCAGGAGTGGCGTCCCGTCAGCCTAGGCGTTCGTTTGATCTTGTAAGTTTATTTATTTTTTAATTTATTAACATTATTTAGTGAAGCAATTGCCATGGTGATTCTCGGGTTTTTTAGAAAATTGGCAACATACAGGAGATGCACCTGATAATGAGTTGTTACTGCTTAGAAAATCTCAAATTCTTCTAGTCATGAGGTTCTGATAAACTATCTTCTCAGCAACAGAGTCGCACCAGTAATCATCGTCTTCCATAGGTACGGAAGAAAAGTATGGTCAAGTATCTTCAATAAGATAGTATTACTACTTAAGTTTGCTTAATACTTCTGTGGTAGAATACAAACACGTTAATGAAAAATCAAAAGTGTGTGTGGGGCTCGTGACTAATTGGTAACCCAGTAGGTTAACAGATTGCATAGTTAAGCCATCCTAGCCAGATCAGTCAATGGATGGGTAACTATTATTAACACATTGAGATAATACACAATAGACACAAATGTCGCCAATTTGTCTAAATGCAAGAAACGATTTATTATAATAAATTGTTTATTCTATTTGAAATTGATTTTCATTATCAGTTTTAAATGGACTTTTGAAAACATGAATTCAATCACTATTTGATGTGGAAACGTTTCGCTTTTAGGGTGCAGTATTTAAAAAGGAGAAACGGAACCCTTATAGGATCACTTTGTTGTCCGTCTGTCTGTCCGTTTGTCACGACCCTATATCTCGGGAACGCGTGGAGGTATTGAGTTGAAATTAAAACCATATAATTAGGTCTACAGTCCCTTGAAGCTATGAAAAAATCAAACTTTTAAGTTAACGTAAAAAAGATGCGGCCGTTCAAGCCGTAAAAAACGCATATTTCGACACTCTCAAGGGAATCAAAATTTATAGAGTATTTCCCGTTAACCTAGAACTATGAAATTTGGCAAGTAGCATCGTCTAATACTACAAGTACAGAAAAAATGTGAAAACTATACATTTGTAATTAAATAAAAAAATATAGTCTTTTTTAAAGTAGGCAATCAATCAGCGCAGCAGGTACAATTGTAGATATAAAACACAATAATATAAGTAACGATAGGTAATGGACCGAATTTCGGAAAAGAAACTACGAGACTCGATTTGTACCTACAAATTTGTACGGTACCCTCTGTGGACGAGGCCGACTCGCACTTGTCCGGATTTTATAAATAAAGGGAAAGTTACACGTTCTTATTTGTTTAATTCAAAGACCACGGAAGAATATAATATAACATTAACGTGCAGACTATTTAATTTCAAAGACAACAGTACAGTACGTTCATATTTTATCTGTTTCAAACCAAAAAGAGGTATAACAACATTTTCCAACTACGAGTATTCTATAAAAGAATGATTAGAATCATATAGCTAGAAATAGAATAGAGAAAAATATAAAATATTAGCCGCTGCCTGCGACTTCTTTCGCGTGGAAAATGAAAAGCGCTGCCATAGTGGGTTTGATTCCCGGACCGGGCAAAATTTTATAAGCTTTTTCGGAGAGCTTGGCTTCGGCTTAATAGTATAATATTTTCAAAATCTGTCCAGCTGTTTTGAAGATAACCCGGAACAAACTGACAGACAGACACACAAAAAAGATTTGGACTGGTTTATATATATATATATATAGGTTTAGTGCAAATAACCGTGTGAGCATGAAAAAAGCTATTATTTTGCCACGCTTCCCTGCGCCACAGTTTCGTTGAGAATCGGTCAAGCTGTTTGGGAGGAGTACGGGAACGAACATTGTGACACGAGAATTTTATATATACTGGATTACAGTCATGATATATATATATATATATATATATATATATATTTATAAATGTAATTTACTGGGGACCCCCCCCCCCCGTAAATTACATTTTTTTAAAACAAATTGCAGACAAGTTAGTTTTATATAATTTTGTTGTCAAACCAGAAATGTCTTTATTGCCATAGATTCGAGTTCAGCACAGCAAATAATTGAGAAGCGCAACAGCCATTAGCCAGAAACGTGATCCATGTGATGCAAGACAGTTTTTTGAATGACTTTTGCCCTCTTTTATTAAAATAATGTGTATGATGCGTAACTTGTTGTATTGCATAGCATAAAATTCATAATCATCATCTCCTTGCAATTTACGATGAGACGGCTTTGTGTGTGAAATTAGCGTGTTACCGTGTCCCGTGTCATTGTTTACCGTGGATTACAGTCATGATTCGGCACAAATACGTTTGCACTGCACGGATGGCGTAGTGGTTTAAGCGGTCGCCTTTGTGTCGCCACTTTGTGTGATCCACAAATTGTCGTTTTGAGTCTGGGTGTTCTTTGTGCCCGTTTCATGTATGTTTGTAAATTCCCCCGCGACAGAGGATATATTCCTAGTGCGGGAGTTGTCTTTCTAAAAAAGAAAAAAAAAAGGTCGGCTAGACCGGACTAAAACCACGGCCCCACAGAAAACCTGTGTTAGGCAATTCTTTAGTTGTTTTTCATCGAGTGAGTGAGGGTTAAGACATTATGACCTGTATAATTTGCTCAGCGATGATAATGCGTATTTATCCACAAACCGTCTAACGGATAAGCATCAATCGTATTATTTCATAGTAAGGTTTTGTTAAAGTAAGTAGGTGATGGTTCCCGTACGCGTAAAGGCGATTATCGGTAGCATACATGTAGGTAGCATTTGTAAGTTTTCTATGCGTGGCCTCGCGACTGATACATACGTACTGTTGAAATGCATTCCATATGTTAAAATAGTATTTAGATATGTACATCTAAATGAAATGATCCTCGTTCGTAAATGTTTTCTACAATTCGTTCTTTTGATATGTTAATTCCAGTCAGGATACGAGTGAGGGATAGCAAAGTTAGGAAAATTGTTCGGAAAATTGGGTTATATGAGAAAATTTGAAGTATTTTTTATGAAAATGTAACAGAGTTTATCAGAAAAATTTAAGGGGTTGGGTAAGAAATAATGGGTTAGTTAGTAGGATATGAATATATAGTTACTTTATTATATACAGTTACATCACATATTTAAGTATGGATAGTTCATTTTATACTTCTAGTATTTCTTGAGTGGTACTAGCCTGTTGTACTTCTGGTACTTCAAATTTTCTTACGTATTGGGGACACTCGAAATCTAATATTGGTCCTCAAAGCATCATATTAAAAAAAAAACAAATTAGTTACCTGTGAAAAAAATGAATGCACTGTTGACAATGCATAGGTATGCAATGTTTACATTGTTTTGTATCTTCTCAAGGCTTTTTTATTGATTGTCGTTGAATACATTGGGAGAGCCATGCGTCCGTGGAACAGGCATGCTTCGGCAAGTATAGGTCGATTCGATTGAAGTGATAATAATAATAATCAACTTTACACATCTCACACACGCCAGTCTGGTCTCAAACTAGGCAAAGCCTGTACTATGGTAACCAATCTGCTGATAAACATACTTATAAATTTCTTATGTATTTGGCTGGCGTAGTGGTTTAAGCGGTAGCCACGCCGCTTACTACTACGCTGAGCGTTGTGGGTTCGATCCTCACATGGAACGACACTTTGTGTAATCCACAAATTGTTGTTTCGACACAGGATATATTCCTAATGCTGTAGTTGTCTTTTAAAAATAATAATAAATAATAAAATATGCATATTATAGATAAATTACACCCAGGCAAAGCATGTACTATGGTACCAGACTATTGATAAGCAAACTTACATTTTTCTAAATACATTCGAATAGATAAATTACATCCAGACACAGAACAAATGATCGTGCTCATCACAAATATTTATATTTGGTGGGAATCGAACCCACGACCTCCGGCTCAGCACCAGGGTCACTAACCACTAGCCCAACAGTCCCGTCAGAAAATCAGTGTAAAGCAATTATTTCATTTCTTTTCATCGAGTAAGTGAATCTACGCCCAAACGTCTTCTTTGTTTGCACTTATGTCTCTTGAGTTGTAAGTTCAATGGCCGGTGGTAGTCACTTACCGTCAGGTGATTCATCTCCTCGTTTGCCCTCCTATACCATGAAAAACATTGGTTGAAGACGAACAGCCCATCTAAGAAAGACAGTTACAGCGGTTTCTAGACGTGGTTAACCATCACTTGGCTGCTGCTAAGTAAAACCTAGTTTTATGATATAATTTAATTATTCCTACTTAGTTAGTTGATAAAGCTAACTGCAAAAGCGGGTTAAGGTGTAGCATATCCAATGGGATTAGGACCGATCTTTCGAATCGCAATTGCAAGTTGATGGGTCGCGGAGAGATCCTCCAATGTGTATTGTTAGTAAACCAGATAATTAGTTGATGATTTCAATTGTGATAATCTTGATAGGAGAAAGACTATGTAAAACATACAGCAATAGACTGACTGATTGAACCAGAATGCAGACGAAAAATAACTGTTGCTTATATAAAATTTACCCGGATATGAAAATTAATCCTAATTAATTTAGGTTAAAAAAAACAGAAAATAATGTCGTCGTATTTTTTTTTCAGTTTAAAGATATATAGTCTGCCTGAGGGGATGAATGTCGCTCATGTGTAGTTCGCTTAACCGCTGAGATGGTAGAGAAAAAAGATCTGGAGACCGTGAGTAATTCAGTTTCTGTATGGCTCTGTCTCATGTTGATGACAAAAGCTTTATTTGTTTACGAACATGACGCATGACGGTCTTGGAAATATAACAAATAACTAAATTCCCCCTTCCTAATTCCAAGGATTTAAAGCGTGAAAAGACAATGTAACATAGAAATATTAGTAAAAATGTGATCTTACACAGGGCGATCCCGAGTTAGAATGCATTTGGAAGCCGATGGAGCTACCGACCCTCCCAAAATCGTTGACGCTCGAGGAGAAGAAATACCTCCTTGCAGTGGAACGTGGGGACATGGGCAATGTTAAACGGTGAGTCAAGCTGATGTAAATCTAATTAAAGTCTTATACAAACTGTTAGAGAAATGCTTATGTGATACAAGTAATTATATGATTATCATGATCATTTGTTGCTGTATTTTTTTTTATAAAACGTACGTATTTATAAATAGATAAGCATGTTCCTCAGCATTCTAGTTACCATAGTTGGCTCTGCAAAGTTTGGGATCAAACGGAAATGTCCGAAATGCTATGTATCTATCTTCTAACTGCTATGTATCTATATATGTACCTATCTTATTATTATTATATTAAAAGACACAACCACGTGATACAAATAAATTTATAATACATTTTCTAATTGTATTAAAATATTGTATCTGATATATACTTATAACAGTCACAACGTATAAGTATGACATTAGCTATAATAATGTAAGCATAATATGTGTTCGTGTTGACCGTGTTATGTCGGATTAAGAATACGTTATGTTACCACCCCTATTCATCTCGTGGGTGTCGTAAGAGCCGACTTAGGGAGCAAATTACACAGGACAACAGCACTGCAAAGAGAAGGTAAACTTAAACAAACCCTATACCGACCCGTCTGGCCAGCGTGGTTTAGTAGGCCAAAACCTCCTTCCTAAGGAGAGGTCTATGTCCAGCAGTCATAGTCATAGTCATTTATTCATCAAAAAATTACATTGTATTTGAAATATAATAAAAAAGACCTTCCAGAGAGAAAAGAGATAGAAAAAAAAATTTGTGGGAGAGCAGTGCTTCGGCACGAATGGGCCGGCTCGACCGGAGTGATACCACGGCGTCCGTTGCCACTCACTGAGTGAGTGAGGTTACCAGAGCCCGAATCCCCCCTCCCGCTGACTCGAGCGGGAGGGACTCCAAGGGCGGCAACGCACTTGTGACTTTTGAGTTGTAGGTGTCCATGGGTGGCGGTAGTTGCTTACCATCAGGTGAACGTCTGCTCGTTTGCCCCCTTACAACATAAAAAAAACTTCGGAACTCTACAAACACCTAAGAGTTACCAAAATGCATGTCTTATCAAAATCACAAGACGCAATCATTACATCCCCTCAAAAAAACAAAAAATCGTCAAAGCTCGAGCCACGGCTGCAATTCCACAAGAAATTCATGGTGGGTACGCAGTCCAGTAGAGTTGGATTGGGCAATGATAAAAGGCAAAGAGATAACAAAATCTTTCCTAGAACAGGATGAAAATGAGACATACAAGATGCACGCAATGAACATAGAAATGCAGAATGAATGGTTAACTCTAGGAGAATTTTGTATCCCACCACCTGGTCACCTGCACTGTTAATTTTTTTACCTCAACGCCTTTCAATTGGCTCTCTCCGATCAAAGCAACCTTGTAAGGTGAGGAAAAGCTACAGAAAAGGCTTGTACGATGTGCAGTGCGGAAATAGGTACAGCCAGGCACTTACTGACGCAAGTCCCATGTTGCCCCCATCTGTTACGACACCCGCACGTTGAATCGATGGAACGCTAAGAAATAGATCAACAAAATAATAGTAATAAATAAATAGTATAATTTAAAAAAAAAACACAATTGTGTCGTCATTAGTTGTCTTTCTTGCAATATCATTAACATTTTGAAGCAGTCATTTTAATATAACAGCAGTCATTTAAAATGTCCAAACATAAATAATGTCACTAGTTATCTTACATATACGTATTTTGGATAATTTAATTCAGATAAATTTATTCTCTTGTTAAAATTCATCAATAGTATAAAGGCATCTGTCCAAAAGGAAAGGTTTTAATTTTATTTTAAAGGAACCTGTATATAAAGCACTCTTTATGTAATCAGGTAACCTATCATATACTTTTACCGCTTGATTGCTAGCGTTGTGTTTTACTTCATTTAATTGGGGAATAATATTCTTTCTAAAATCTTTTCTATGTGTCTCTTTCCTAGCTTTTCGTTCTGTGCTATTTTCAAAACTACCTATATGTTTTGCAAAATTACTTAATACCACTAGAATATAGAGGCTAAGAACTAAGAATTCCTAGGCTTGAAGTATGGTCGACAACTTTCTCTTTGTGGCACGCGAACCAGTACCAGTGCTCGTGCAAATAGCTCGATTTATAAAAGCTCTTTACATATTGAAACCATAACTATGACCCCAACATCGGATGCTATATCTCAATTTTGATTCTACAATCGCATAGTACACCATTTTTAGTCTTTCTATACCTAGTTCATCTCTAAGGGATCTTATAGCATAACATGCAGATGATATACAGGCAGTTACTGCATTCAATTTAGTTTTCCAATTAAGTCAGTCATCGATCTTTATACCTAAGAATTTTACTTCCTTAACCAGATCAATTTTACCATTTAATTTCCATAGTGTCAGTATTTCGTGACGTAGTCCTAAATGATATAATTTGTGTTTTTGTAGTGTTTATTAGAAGCTTATTTACGGTAAAGCATTGCGAAAAGCTTTCTAATAGTTTGTTTACTTTATATGACAAAACTTCCATGTTATTTCGAAACTGCAGTGGACTGTTACAGGCTGTTGGTGAAGCAGAAAATATTTAATAACACACTTGTTTTATTTCATCATCCATGCTAGTTACATTGACATCTTTCTGTGTGTATATTCTAATAATATTGCAATGATTGAGAACTCTATTAATACTTCCTATGACTGCTTTAAAACATGTCTCTTATGTTTAAAAGTAAAAAAGTAACAGTAACAAAAAAAAAACATACAAGTTAGCACCATATACATCTGCCACATGCTTGATATCTAAATTTATCAATCGAACAAAAGGTAATTGAGTCATATCCTTGTCAAAATATCTATACATTTTAGACATCAAAGTGCTAGCTATCCGATCTACGTTTTGCCAAGTTTTAATGATCAAAGGCTTAGTTCTAAAGACATTTACCGCTTAAAAATGTTTCCTAACTTTTTATCATTAAGGTCTTTTATAAAAATAAAAGTTTGAAGCGTTTAGATTATATTTATAAAATAAAAGACGACGCTTTAACACACCAAAACTTAAAAGGGCAAAGTTATTAAATTATGCTAAAGAAAAAAAAAACATTTAATTTAGTAAGTGACACACTTTGGTCAAAACACTCGAGTAGCTCAAAAAAGTCGTTAACATGGAATTATTTCATTTTTATTAAAAACGTGGGACGCAAACTGTGGTCACAAGTTTATTTTTGATAACGAACTTAAAAGGTAATATTTTATCTGCATTTATTGTTTGAAAAAGAAAATTCACTTAACGTCCAATTACGTTTAAAAGCGAATGTAAACAGGGGCTTGTTGACGTCAAAAATGGCTTAAGTCCGGTGCTCGAGTGTTTTTGTTCAAAACAACTTGCCTCAAATATTTATATTATTGAGGGGACTAGGACATTGCCCGACTTTCTTTCAGGCTATTTTTATACAATCGTAAAGCATATTATTGAGATGCAATTCCAAACGTGAGAATTAAATTTAAAAACAAATCAGTACAACTTCAGGCCACCTAAAAAAATATATATTTGCCGTCTTTAGACTAGAAATATTTTCTTTGAATTTAACTGACTCACATGTGAAAATATCGCTTGAATAATACACAAAAAAAAAAAACAAAATTTATTCTATAAATGCGCATTAAAAAAAGTACGGCTAAGTGGCGTGTATCGGAATGGATTTCTAGATATAGCTAGAGGTGAGCAGATGTTTATTATAAAGGTATTCGATAAACCTACGAGTATATCTGTTAATGGTCTAAGAATAAAATTCAATTTCATTTTTATTCGTATTTATGTATTATAGAGACTAGTCATATTTGCTTGTTTTTTGTGAGCAAAGCCGCGTTAAAAATATATTATTCTGTATACATTTCTTCCCCAATTTTCACCTTAGATAAACCGTTTTTTTTTTGTTTCAAACGCTTGTAAGTAGGTCCATTAATTTACTTGGATAAATTTATGTTCTTAATTTCGCGGCACTTCGTGTTAAATTATTGAGAACGTGTTTAGTTCTAGATAAAATTTCAGTTTTATCTAAATGTTAGCAGTTATAATAAACATTTAAATATTCATTTGAAAAGTTTATTAACATCGTGATTCGAAATCGTTTTTTTCTGATGCTGTATTGGCGACAAATTTAATTATTGGCCATTGTATAATCGGATTATTTTTGAATCAACTTTATAGTTCCATTAATTTACTTGGATAAATTTATGTTCTTAATTTCGCGGCACTTCGTGTTAAATTATTGAGAACGTGTTTAGTTCTAGATAAAATTTCAGTTTTATCTAAATGTTAGCAGTTATAATAAACATTTAAATATTCATTTGAAAAGTTTATTAACATCGTGATTCGAAATCGTTTTTTTCTGATGCTGTATTGGCGACAAATTTAATTATTGGCCATTGTATAATCGGATTATTTTTGCATCAACTTTATAGTTCCATTAATTTACTTGGATAAATTTATGTTCTTAATTTCGCGGCACTTCGTGTTAAATTATTGAGAACGTGTTTAGTTCTAGATAAAATTTCAGTTTTATCTAAATGTTAGCAGTTATAATAAACATTTAAATATTCATTTGAAAAGTTTATTAACATCGTGATTCGAAATCGTTTTTTTCTGATGCTGTATTGGCGACAAATTTAATTATTGGCCATTGTATAATCGGATTATTTTTGCATCAACTTTATAGTTCCGTTGATTTTTATTTTTTTAGAACGAAGCTTTGTAGTTTTAATTTATGAAAATAGGACTTTTGTATGACTTTACATTACATTATACATTCAAAAAAATTAAATAATTAGTTAACTATACACGTCCATATGTGTCATGGTAGGTGTGTGTGTATAAGTGTCAAAGTTTACTACCAAAAACTTTACTACCAATAGTTAGTACTTTGGTTAATAATTACCTCACATTCATATTAAAGAGTGCAAAGTATTCATAGTGAAAAAAGGCATACAATATAACATACATTCTACTAATATACATTCTACTTTTTTCGGTTTATTCTTATGCTACGGAAACAGTAAAACAGTGCCAGATTGAATACCTTTAATACAAAATTTCAATGGAAAGTTCTCATTTGACCTTATTTAAGTTAGTAGAAAAAAGTCAACCAAGTTTATCGTTAGGAGGGCTATTTGCTTTGAAGAGGAAGAACGCATCTCGACCGATCCGGAAGCGCAGGCGGCCTAGTTCTGTGGCGTCATGACTGACGTCTGTGACGCGTCGATGCCACGGGTCAGGCCGAGGGGTAGCAGGGTTCTGTTTACTGGTGGATAAGGGAACTCGAGCAGCTTCGCACAGCGTGCTCGAGAGCCCGAAGAAGACGGCGAGCCACAGCGAGGAGATCGCCGAAGTGAGGCGGGAGTACGGCGCTGCCGTGGGTAACTGGACGCAGACCCTGGACCCGGTGTTTGTGGGAAAAGTGGCAAATGACCTCTTCCCCAGGGACCAGGGTAGTCCCTCACCCCCTCCGTCACCGTCGGAACCGGTTACATGGTCCGATGACTCTGACGTGGCGGAGGAAGAGCTGGACCGAGCTGTGAGGCGACGATACGGTCCATGACCCTCTACAGAGCACCGATTTGGGCTAAGCGCCTATCGGCCTCTTCCCGCTGCCGAGCTAAGCTCAATAAAGGGCAGCGGGCAGCGGCCATTCGGATCTTACTGGGATACCGCACCATTTCGTCGGAGGCGGCGACAGTCTTTGCATGTTCGGTAAGCAAATCCTCCAGGATACCTTTTGATATTCTGGCGGATTTGCTTACCGATCTGTTGGACGTTATAAGCAAGTATTACCATTATTACATAACATACTTTATATTTTTTCTTTTTTTAGAATACTGCAAAAGGCCCATCGCATTAAACATATAGATGTTAACTGCGTGGACTCTCTAGGTCGTGGTTCTTTAACTCTTGCTATTGATGGAGAGAACTTGGAGATGGTAGAACTTCTAGTTGTAATGAGTGTAGAAACCAAGGATGCTCTGCTACAGGCTATCAATGCGGAGTTTGTAGAAGCCGTTGAACTCTTACTAGAACACGAGGAACTGATACACAAAGATGGAGAGCCCTACGTAAGTTATAAATTATATTCTAATATTTTTACATAGCATTAGGAAAAAAAGAACAAAATTCCGAGGCAAATCAAAACTAATCACAGTAACACAGTATTAAAATAAAACAAAAATCTGGTCTTGCCAAAATTAGCAGAAGATTCTGATAACAAATGGACTATTGTCGTTGCCTCCTGGTCATCGTAAGGCGGGTGATGATCTTAAAAGTGGTGAATAACAAGCGAATATCCACATATTTGTCCGTGTGGTGACGGATTAAGAATACAGAGTGTCACCACCCCTATTCATCCCGTGGGTGTCGTAATGGGCAACTAAGGGAGCAAAGTACGCAGGACAACAGCACTGTAGAGAGAAGGAAAACTTAACACAAACCCTATACCAAGCCGTCTGGCCAGCGTGGTGTAGTAGGCCAAAACCTCCTTTCTAAGGAGAGGCCTATGTCCAGCAGTGGACTAGTAAAGGCTGTTGATGATCCACATATTCTTTCATCTTATCCGTGTTCATTCGAATTTGGAATTGTAAGATGACAAAAAACTTTACCGATTAATTCCTAAAAATAACAGGCAAATCCAAAAGTAAATAGCCTGCAATTGCTTGCTTACAATGCGTGCTTTGGTAATTGTCGTAGGCATCGTTTGGGTTCAATGGTGTGGAGACGGTCACTGCGTCTTGCTAGGTGACTTCCAGGGGGATTCCAAATAAATAAAAAATAAATAAATAAGGAAATAAATAAAAAACGGAATGTTATAACTATGACAAATTTCAAGCAAAGATAAGGTTAACAGCATATTAATCTTATTGTCTTGGTTCAGAGCTGGCAAAAAGTGGATCCGAATATAGCAATGTTTACACCGGATGTCACTCCGCTGATGCTAGCAGCACACAAAAACAACTACGAAATTATCAAGATCTTGCTTGATCGTGGGGCAACTTTGCCCGACCCTCATGACGTCAAGTAAGTAATAATAATAGAAACAGGAAGAAACTATCATCTCATGTGTGCGCGATGCGTGAGAAGTGAATTTGTAAACACCGTCGATGCAATAATTTAAAAAACTAAAACAATATTTCGTCTTCCGAATATTATCGTGATTAAGAGAGACACTTGTAAGAAGTATGTGATATTTTATAAGTTTAGAGAGTAATATGACAACTCAAAAGTATTCACTAAACATTATGTTCTACAGATAAGTTTGACATGTTTCTAATCTATTGTTACAGTACAATGTATTTTTTATAATTTTAATTCTTGGAAGTTAGGCCATGAGTCAATTAGATAACTTCTTACTATGATATTTAAAAAGGTTTCGTTACCAGGTGTGGTTGTGAAGAATGCATCCGGGAGTCAACAGAAGATTCTCTACGTCACTCGTTAGCTCGCCTGAACGAGTATAGGGCGTTGGCATCTCCCTCACTCATAGCCTTGTCTTCGATTGATCCTATATTAACAGCCTTTGAATTGTCTTGGGAATTGAGAAATTTGGCTTTTGCTGAACAGGTCAGTATTTAGCGATAAGGCTGATTTATAATATCTGTCTAATACTATTAAGAAAACAGTTATTTTTAAATGACAAGAAAGATCATGTCATTCCTTCTTTTTAAACTATTTTAACCAGGATTTAAATTTATTGATTTATGTAACAAGAGATTAATAACATCGATCGACATTCTTCACAAGCGAGCATTACAAAAACTTTAACTAACCACAAAGTTTAATAGTGGAGGAATTGTCTTTAAAATAAAAACTTTTAACCATTGACTCTGACATGAAAACAAATAGAAATCCTCAAATTGTATTAATAGGAAAGTAAAGCTGAATATTTAGAACTACGTCGGCAAGCGCAACTTTTTGCTGTAGACCTACTGGATCAGTCAAGAAGCTCTAAAGAACTTGCCATTATCTTGAACCACGATCCAGACCAACCTGCTTTCATTGACGGTGACCACATGAAATTGGCTAGATTGGAACTGGCGATAGATTTTAAACAGAAAAAGGTATTTGTTGGTGCATTGTCATATTATAACCATATATTTATTCATTGTAACAATTAAACTTTAAATACTAAATGTATTAGTCAAGGTAATGTCTTTTCTTGTAACCAGGTGACGGGTGACGTTCCCGTCACAACCTAATCGTCAAGATAATTTTTGTTAAGTATTCAATACGTTTTAACACTAGCAGAAACTTGGTAGAACATTTCTGCTTGGAAACGCTTATACATTAAAGACTTGTTCCAGTTTGTAGCTCACCCCAACATCCAACAGCTTCTAGCTTCGATCTGGTACGAAGGTGTACCAGGTTTCCGTCGTAAGACTGCAATCGAGAAGGTTATGATCATCTGCCGTGTCGCCTTGTTGTTTCCATTCTACTGCACGCTGTATATGATAGCTCCTAACTGTCCCACTGGAAAGCTTGTGAGGAAACCGTTCATGAAATTTTTGATTCACGCTTCGAGTTATTTGTTTTTTCTACGTAAGTTGACTTAAATATATTTTTATTAATAAAAATTTAAAAAGTAAATAGTGCTCGAATTGAAAGTATTACTATAATAATACATCCACACATATTATACGTGGCTATAGGCGTGAGAATGTAGCCCTTTGTAGATATTCCTGAAGGAGTAGTCAGAAACGTATCAAACACAAATCTTTTGTCACCAACAATTCGGACCCACCTATGAGAGAGCAAGAATATTATCAGTTCATGTAAATGGTAATTAAGGAACGGATTATGTTGAAATCAATTAAAATTGGTAACAAAAATGCGATAAGAAGGGTAGGAAGCAAAGGCATAATGTTTACACGGATGTATCACGGAGTGTAAGATATAAGTCGAGCTGACCAGGGTCACATACTTACACATCTCGTACTTGCTACTATTTAAATGTTACAGATTTTTCCTTTTAATTCAATAACTTATCAAGTTAAGCAATTAGCAGTAGTATTAAGATGTAGATAGTAATTTGTTTTTTTTGTTAAATCGATTTGTATGCTAAGGATGCACGCATCAGGATGCTAAGGAATTTTAATTTGAACACTCAATTTGGATTTTAAGGTGTATCGACCAATAAAGTCTCGCGTACATCGTTTCACAAAACTTGTGTAAATGCATAAGTTGGTAAATCTTATCCAATTTTGTCTTCAGTGATTCTAATTCTTGTATCGCAAAGAGCGGAGGTCCAGGCTATACAACTGTTTGGACCCGAATGGATGGTAAAGGAGTTAGAGAAAGAACTTCTTAAGCAGAGGGGTAACAGACCAACATATCTGGAGGTAGTTGTTGTTGTTTATGTTCTCGGTAAGTTAAAATATATTAAGGGATAACAGAATTTTTTAACTGGGATATTTTCTATTTTATTGCTTTAGTATTTGCTGTTGCAAGTTGCATTTCAAGTTTTGAAGACCTCTTATTACAGTATACGGGCAATCTTATTGAATTCGCCTGTGGCTCGCATCACGGTGTTAAAAAGCATGCGTAGCGAATGCGTTAGTTTTACCTCCTGAAAAAATAAAAGAAATCAATATTGAGGTGTTTTCCTATCATCACCATCAACAGCCTCTAATAGTCCACTGCTGGACATAGGCCTCTCCTTAGTAGTAGGTTTATATCGTGTTTTATTAAACAGGATTTATATGGGAAGAAACGCAAGAGATATATATCGAAGGCATTCGCTCGTACCTACGCAATATGTGGAACTTCATCGATTTCACTAGGAACTCTTTGTACGTTGCTGTCACAGTACTTAGGGTTGCGGCATACTTCCAACAGACATCAGAAATAGAGAGGGACCCCCAGACGAAATTTATACCCAGAGAGAAGTGGGACGCGTTCGATCCTCAATTGATTGCAGAGGGACTTTTTGCTGCGGCTAATATTTTCAGGTAAGTATACCTACTAACATGACAAAAATGAGTTTTGTTTTGTACTTCAGCATATATGCAGGGTTACTGGGTAAGTCGGCCTAGATACTTTAAGGGGTTGTAGTTGCCATCATTTCTGATAGATTTCACTATGAAATATCATATCCCAAAAATAACCATTTTCAAGATATTGAAATTTTGTGATTTTTTATAATAATTGCCGAAATTTTGCCTATTCTTTATCGTGTGCTTTTTTAACTGTTTTTGTATTGTTGATAAATTGTTTAATAATTTCAATTACTAAAATTGTAGTTTACTTAAAAAACTGGGCACAACCAGGCTAAGAAATAACTAGAATTAAAGCTTAATTATGCCAAAACAGATTCTTTTCTTTGACGAATATTATAAAAAAAACTAACAGTTAAACTGCAGATTTGTTAAAAAATTGTATCAGAATTCATGGAAAAAACCTAAGATGAAAGACCGGGAGTGTTAAGAATTAGCGTACAACCCGGTAGTATCTAGTTAAAAACTTGGCTTGTATTTTTGGATTGCTTCGTTTTCTATTAGTGACTAACCATTGTTAAGTTTGCCTCGATTTGTGCTTCTGAAAAACGAAAACGACAACAGTAAATACAATTAAAGATGTGTGGCATACAACAGTCGTACATAGATCCGTGCAGTAGTATAAATAAAGACAACAGTAACCGCCGGCGGTGTCTGCCGCTACCCCTAAACGGGGGTAGGTCATGGGGTGTTCTTTCGAGTTGGTCTTGTTTCTTGTTTGGGTTCCCGGTGGTTTCCAGACGTAAAAAAAAAATAGTTCTTATGATTATTTGCAATGCTAGTCAATAAATTACATTTACATTAGATGGTTCTGCGATATAATTGCTGTATATGGGGTCCTCATTTACTTAAAATTTTGTTGTTCACAGTGCCCTGAAACTCGTACATCTGTTTTCAATCAACCCGTATCTAGGACCACTTCAGATCTCATTGGGTCGAATGGTTATTGATATTGTGAAGTTTTTCTTTATATACAGCTTGGTTCTTTTCGCCTTTGCTTGTGGTAAGTCTTATAGAATTAAAACACATTAAGAAATAAATGCACGTACTAGCAATATTATTTTTTTAAACTCGACCTTAATGCTGCGCGTAATGCCTCGAAATAGTTTAAAATTTATGTTCCTTTTCTGTTTGCGTACCTGCATAAATGTCTAGCAAGACATTGTCCATGTACTTATGTAGAATAACTCTATTGACTATTTGATTTTATTTATTTATTTATTAAAGAAATTTACGGATAATTGCATGATAATATTATTGCTATTTATAAAAGATACACATTTATCGCATATCTGTTCCGAAGATGAAACTGAGGGTCATTGACCCAATAAGAACTCTTTGACAAGATCAAAAATTAATTAAGATTAGGTACCCTTAATTTGAGACGTTAATGTAAAGCAAAGAAAAAGGTCTCGAAATTTGATACCATGTCTAAAAACAATCGCGAATTGCTTCAACAAGGAAATAGTAATAATTGATTTATGTATTCTTCTTTTATAGCAATAATCCCGTAATATAAATATTCCAGCAGATAATTTATTATTGTTGTTAAAAATCTAGGTCTAAATCAATTGTTATGGTACTTTGCGGATTTGGAGAAGCGCAAGTGCTACGTATTACCCGGTGGTCTACCTGACTGGGACAATGCAGGCGATTCTTGTATGAAGTGGAGAAGCTTCGGAAAGTTAGTTCTAGAGCTTGTTGGTGCTAGAATATTTTGTAGTTTGGCTAGTTTAGGTAGTTACTCGATTATACGTTGACTGTATAAAATATGTAGGGTTTCTAAGAAAAAACATTTCCTTTTAAGTACTTAAGTTGCCAACGACTAGACAAACAAATATATTAGTCTTATTAATTCATAAAAACACAGAACAATTACTAACACCTTCTTTAAATTTCATATTGATACGCTAATTTTAGAGGACAATGTCCAGTCATGCTCATGCATGCATGTTGTAGCAGTAATAGAATACGGTGGAGGTAGACATTTAGCTTATTCAAGGATCCTCGAGATTGTTACGGCTCTGTGTGTTCCTATTGCGGAAATTTATAATAACGTCAACTTTAATTTTATTAATATATATATATTTTTTAGTAATAAGACAGTCGAATAATTCTACATTGACAAAGTGAATTACATTTTAATGAAAGGAGGGCTAGGGTGACCTTCTGTATGTGTTGTAACTCTTCAATAACTTCAAGCTTTCACTCGATGTGAAATAAAATATTTCAATTTTTAACTAAGAAAAACCTGATTTTCATATCTTGATTTAAAACCATCACTTTTAATTTGGTTTTAAAATAGTACCTCAGATTTAAAAAAAATATATATCCTTACGATATGCATAAAACCTAGTAATTTTTGGCCGCGGCCCGAAAGGTTGATGTTGGGAAGTTGTATATTATATGAGGGAATTCTTTATAACGCGATACAGGATTAGCAATTCTTATTTTAGTAGTTACTCCGTAGTTCGGTGTGTCTTCATTAGATGGCGCTGTAGTATGTTTATGTGGGAATCGCCACAAATGTATTAAAAATTTAACTATTGGAACTCTATAGAAAACTGGATATCATCTTTAGATAAACGCTATAAATGATATGCAGCTCATTGTTTATAGTAATGTGAACAGTAAAAACACCTAACTCTTTTGATTTACACCTGCGTGGACAGTGGCTGACAACCATAGTATAACCAACAAGTATTCAATCATTGCCATGACAACAAAGGCAATTTTTTTCCCGACAAATATTAATTGATTTTAAGCCACATATTTGTGGACAAATATTTTCTAGTAGTTTTATTTTAGAAGTTTTTTATTTTAGATGTATTTTTAAAACTTTTCTAAACAAAATGGATGAAGAGCAACACGGTGTTCGTCACGCAATCGGCGCTCCAATAGCTACCACTAGGCTTGCTGAACAGGCCTTAGTAGGTATACCTCCAAGAACCGCTAAGTTTACCATTGACGAGTGGGTGCTAAGTAATGATTCGCGTTGCAGAAACGCTGAAGACCAACAACAGCTAGCAGACAGGATTTTAGCAGAGTCTAAACGTGTCAAAGATGAAACGGCTGAAAGAGCAGAAATTTTAAAAGCTACTTCTGATAAACTTCTTAAAGAGCGCATTGGTGATGTAGATTTTAATAAACGTGAACTCCAAATTCAACGTGAAGACATATGCTCGGAACTAGAAGCTCTTGGCGTATACAAGACCAGACTACTTGAATGTCTTACTTCATTTGAAAATGCATGCGATATTTGTCGCAAATGTCTTATATTGAGGGATGGACGCCTCGGTATCGATTTGGTCGTAGATGAAGTTGAAGCGGTGCTAAAACAAGAAATTGAAACTATTAAAGGTGGGCAAATTCTTTTGAAGAAAGTATTAGAACAACTTCAAGAACAAATGAGAAGACTTCGATCAACTCGTTACCTTCTCGACAGAGATTTACAATACAAACAAGCAGCTATTGATATAGATAAACAAAATTTATCTCTGAAATCAACGGATTTGTGTCTTTCTATATATGAAGGTTACGCCAACCTTGATCCAGCAAATATTAGTGCCGAAGAATATAATAATTACTCGTCTTCGAACATTTTTGCAGCTGCCAAAGAAGTAAATAGCGCTCGTCCAATTAAAATGTATGTAGATACACTTCTTAAACAAGTTGTAGACGACCTTTGGCACGCTTATAATAGGTGTAATCACGCTTTTCTGAAGAGGATTGATGAGACTAGAGGGGCTAAAACAAAACTTGAAGGTATGCATGTCGAAACGGCTCAAAAAATTGCTGACATGCAAAGCAATATTACTTTACTGCAAAAAGCATTATCTGATAGAGAGGGAAATACCGCTTTAGCACATACTCGTCTTGGAAAAAGAGCTCAAAGAATTGGGGCTGAATTAGTAAAAGATCCAACAGGTCAAGCATTATATTACGAATGTGCCATGTTGCGTCGCAGCACAGAGCAATTACAGCAAATGCTTTTTGAAGCAACAGCTTCTCTTAGATATTTGTTACAAACACAGATTCAGTTGGAAGAGGATATTAATGTTAAAATGAATACCTTGAAAATAGATGAGGTGGATTGTATGACCCTACGAGAGACAATAAATTATCACGTTTTTTAGGAGTTAAATTAAAGTTTATTTACTCATAAACATGTTTTTATTGTAAAAATATACTACTATAGACAAAACCCGGTTGCCGTTTCGTTCTATAGCAGCTGTCAAAAGGAAAGAGACTTTTACCTTAACGATTGTTCGAACTACAGCTATCTGCAGGTTACAAGCGGCATCAGTTAAACTAAAGAGGTTTATACTTAAAGATATGATTTCGATCGGTGTACAGAGGTCATATTAAATAATTAAAAAAACTGTATCAATAGTTCTAATATAAAGACTTTAAAAACATTTCAATAATATCAACATTTATCGTGCCTAAATGAGCAATTCGTTTGCTATTGAATGGGAAAGCCATATTTGTTATAAAAAAGTCTTCATGTCAGTTCAGTTTTTGTTTATATTAGAGGAGCAGACGGGTCACCTGATGGAAATTGACCATCGCCGCCCATGAACGTCTGGAACTCGGTGTTCGAGTACGCTATTTATTGCATCTTTTTATGCTAAAAATCGATAACCAAATTTTTGTGTGACACGCAATTGTCTCCAGACATTATTAATCGTTGCAGCATTACTTTGCCATTGAAGTCGTAAATAGTCATATAAACGTAGATTTACTCGGAGGGAGGGAGTAGAGAATTTATGATTCGAATGTGTTTAATCCATTGGCTCAAACGTTTCCTTTTTGTAATGCCAATTCCGTCGTCATAGTTACGAATAACAATTTTATCAATATTTCACTATCCATATTTTTTTGTTTCTACTCGAAGCATTTTGAAGTTATTTTATTTTATAAGTTTTATTCTTTTAAAATGGAGGAGCAATTTGGTGTTCGTAATGTGATTGGTGCTCCAGTAGCTACCACTAGACTGGCGGAACAGGTTCTAGTAGCTATACCCCCAAGAACTGCGAAGTTCACTCTAGCTGAATGGAAGTTGAGTAATGATCAGCGAAGCAGGAATGCGGAAGACCAACAACAGCTAGCAGATCGGATTCTAACTGAATCTCAGCGTGTAAGGGACGAAACTGCTGAACGAGCTAGTGTCTTGAAAGCCACTACAGACAGGTGTCTCAGTGAACGTATTGGTGACGTTGACTATAATAAGAAAGAACTTCAAATTCAACGTAAAGAAATCTGTTTGGAACTCGAAGCTCTTGGAATGTATAAAGCCCGATTATGTGACTGTCTTACTTCACTTGAAGGGGCAGTGGTAATCGTTCGGAAATGCTTAATGCTGAGAGACGGGCGAATTGGAATTGATTTAGTCGTTGATGAGGTTGAATCAGCACTGCAACAAGAAATAACCACTATATTAGGGGGTCAGAGTCTTTTGAAAAGAGTTTTAGAACAACTCCATGAACAAATGAGAAGACTTCGATCGACGCGATACCTGCTTGACCGAGATTTACAGTACAAACAAGGAGCTATTGACATAGATAAACAAAATTTATCTCTGAAGTCGACGGACCTGTGTCTATCTACATATGAAGGTTACGCTAATCTGGATCCTGCGAATATTGCTGCGGAAGAATACAACAGCTATTCTACAAATAATATCATATCTGCTGCAAAAGAAGTAACGAGCTCACGTCCTATAAAAATGTTTATTGATACAATTCTGAAACAAGTTGTTGACGATCTTTGGACTGCCAATAAAAGATGTAATCATGCTTTTCTTGAGAGAATTGAAGATACTCAGCGAATGAAATCAAAACTAGAAGGTATGCATTTTGAAACGACTCAAAAAATCGCTGATATGCAGTCCAATATTTTGCTGTTGCAAAAAGCTTTATCAGATAGAGAAGGTAACACCGCCTTGGCACATACACGCCTAGGAAAACGAGCTCAGAGGGTTGGTGCTGAGTTAGTTCGAGACCCTCCAGGGCAAGCTTTATATTACGAATGTGAAATGTTACGTCACAGCACAGAACAACTGCAACAAATGCTGCAAGAGGCAACAGCTTCACTTAGATACTTGTTACAAACTCAGATCCAGTTGGAGGAAGATATTAATGTTAAAATGAATACCTTAAAAATAGATGAGGTGGATTGTATGACCCTACGAGAGACCATGAGTTACAATGTTTATTAGAGATAAATGTACGAATCTCTCCGTTGTATAAGTTAAGTATGTATGTGTGTAGTGTACGTGTGTCATGTCTATTGCTTATTATCAACATTGGTATTCTGTCAGCACTATCAAGCGGACTGTTTAAAAATTAGCCCTGCACCTAGCTTTTGGTACTTGTTACTTCATCAACTATCAACATATAATGCAGTCTAAGCATAGGTCACATTGATGGAAGAGTTTGAGTGTGTCACACAATTTTACACACTAGAGGTTAGGGGGTAGAAAAACTTAAGACTATTTTATGTTTTAGCAAAATACTTACTGCTGTAGTCTAGCAAAGTGTACTGGGTTATCATTCTGAGCGATTTTCAGCGAAGACTTGTGTGCTAATAGCATAGTTGTTTTGTGAAATATTTACTTTATATGTGATACATTTTAATGAATAAATAGATTGATTTAAGTATACATATTTATTTTCTTAAATATATGAAAGATCTTGTAGAAGTTGTCGAATGAAATTCATCATTTACTTAGAAATAGTTTGCAACGAAAAATCTCTCTCGGGCATCCTAAGCTGAGCAAAGCACTTGTAACTAAAAAATAAAATACTCTAAATTATCTTGTTATTCAAACATTCAATTAATGTCAGTTGTATTTCTTTTTAGATCTTTTCACCTTTAAGATTATCTGTGCCCCTGATCTTATCTTCGTTTTGGTGAAGCTCTTTGCATGCTATCAGCAAAGGGAAATATAGACTAGTATGTTATTTATACAAAGCGCTACGAACAAAGAGAAAAGAGTGATATAAACAAAGTTATGTATCACTTTTTATTTTATCATAGCATTTGCCGACGAGTTTAATATATTTAAATTGAATGGATTTAAAGTAAAGTTGAAATATTTTTCTCTACCGATCCCATCAGAATTCAAGATTTTGCAGCGTTTATATTACAGCATGATGTTCCTCTTGTGTGAGGTCGTGTACGCGACGGATCGCGTATATTATATACTTTTGATTTTAAATTGTTTTATTCTCACATAGTTAAGGATTCTAGGACAAAGCATCTAAAAGTTTAATATTTTCACAAGTAATTTAATATTAATTTTTAAATCGCTAGTCTTCTTTCAAACAACACAGGCGGTCTAAGTGACTGAAGGTAATTTGAATTATTCATTAAAAAGTCTCTGTCGATTTTCTTTGAAAACCCATTATAATAAATAATTACTTCAGAATAATAATTATTTTAATAACTTAATCGGTAGTGGGGGGTTTAGCTTGTTTTAATCTTTGAAAGTACAAGGCGTTCCATACAATGAAGACTATAAAAAATCATTTAAAAACTATCTAAGTGAACTGAACTTTAATTAAATGCTCTAACGAAAGTTGAGTTGTTTTGAAGTTGAGATTAAAGTTGAGTATTGTATTGAAAATCCTTTGAGGATGTACTCTCTGAGTAGCGAAGAAATCCATTAATCAAAAATTTGTCAAGAGCTTTTTTTTTATTACATCAAAGACATTGTTAGTTTTGACATAGCTTGGCTTTATTTTGTGAACTACATTTCAATTTCTGACCACTTTAACGGACTAACTATTATAACAAATAAATAAAATCAAATACTAGGTTTATCACTTATACCTTTACGAGTATATGTTGAAAATGAAGAACATAAAGGAATGTCGTTCATCGAGCGATAGAAAGCGCAACACAGAGAAATATTAAGGAAAGAAAAGGAAGGCAACATTAAAAGATCACTAAAAATAAAATTGAAACACATCCTGAGTTATCTTCCATTAGAAAGATAACGGACTAGTCAAGTATCGACTAGCCTCGGGTAGATGCGGCATACAACCGCAATTTGTGGAACTACAAGTTCCGGGTCTAATTAAGTGATGCTTACTTTCAGGGGATCTTATGACTAATGAGGTCATGTGATATTGCTATCGTTTTGTTTCATTTTTACATAGTACTACAATTTTCAAATATCCTAGCGTTACAATGACATATTGTAAAGCTAGGATATTTGAAAATTGTAGTTATTTTTTTAATTATTAACTAACACTAATTATTTTTCAACAGCGTCTTCGAAGCCTCACAGTCTCTTTTTTGGGCGTCTTTCGGTATGGTTGGCTTGGAAAACTTTGAACTCGCTGGCATCAAGAGCTATACACGGTTCTGGGGTCTTCTTATGTTTGGGTCATACTCTGTTATCAATGTCATCGTGCTGCTAAATCTACTCATAGCCATGATGTCTAATTCTTATGCAATGATCGATGTAAGTATTCCTTAGTTTTATTACAAAGTGAGTTCAACTTGTTTTCTAAATACTGCAAATTTTTAAAGTTGCAAGTTTTAAGGACTCTCTACATGCATGCATCATAGAAATCATCTGCATTTGCCTATTAGTAGTATTCCCTAAAGGCTGGCAACATAGTCACTTTGAATTTAAATGCAAATTTTCTGTGTAAGAAAAAGCAGCAGTGTCCATACGAGAAGTGTTGATCAATCATCAAGCTAGTTCTTTTACTCATAATAACCATTCGGACCTTTTTTTGTCAACTCAACAACACAAAAAAAAACATTCGGCTCCTATGAGTTTAATGCTACCAATTAATTTTTTTTATGTTCATAAGTTTCAGAATTAAAATTAAGTGTACCTTTTAGTGGACATATCCCCGAGAATTATCTTATCTTATTCTCGCCGTTTTGTTTTATCGTTATTGGATACTGAATTTGTTAAGAAATTAACCAGACTTTATTGTAAAATCACGCACATTGAATCTTAAAGAAGTTGTTTGTTGTTCTTCGCGTAATTCACATGCTTAGTTCCTAAGGCTGAGAGTTCTAATCCAGAATTATGGGAACACTGCAGACAGAAAAGTCCACAGTGCAAGTATCGGAAAAGTAACATAAATGTTTCAGAGACAGAGAAAATGTTGTTATTGCGAGCCAATACGTACGAGATTTTTAACAATAATTGTTATGTACGGGTAATGTTACTTTAATATTATGTTTGTTTATTGTATGTATAACAATGAGATATGGTGAATGATTTGTTTGTTAACAGCTTTGTATGATATTGTATCATCATCAACTGATCATTGTATAACTGAACTTGTTATTTTGGTAACTCGAGGAGAAAAACGTGTCAATCTGAACACGCGATGGATTTTTTCAAATAATTTATTTCTGAGATAACTTTAAAACACTGACACATTTATTAATCATATATTATTTTTATTTTCCAAATATATATTTCTGAATGTATACAATAACATAGAGTTCAGATAATCCTTTTCATACTGCTTACGTTTTACCTTTGTGAAACGATTTCCAAGACCGAAATAAACACGTACAAACTGGCATATATGGCCTTTTAAGAAATTAGGTAGTTACGAGTAACCAACCTTTTGCAAGGTAGATGAATAATGGTCTGTTGAAGTCCTACATAAACCGGGTCATGGATTATGGAAGCCCTTTAAATTTACATCTTTGTATTTTTCCAGTGAATCGTACATTTAATTTTTTTTAGACTTAAAACTTCGTTTAAAAGTAAAATGATCTGTGGGTAATTAAGGTAATAATTGTCAGATTCCGTTACTCTGTCTAAGAAATATTGTGGTAACAAGACGACTACTATGTTGCATGCATGCATACAATGTTGACACCACTTCTCTTTCAGCAATTGAGCCTCCTCGTGGTAGAAAAAAATATTATTGTTTTTTTTTATTATCTTTAGCGACTGCGATTAGTTGTGAAATTAATTAATAATTAAGAATTGTTGTAAATATAGTACATATCACTTCTGTTGTATTCGTATCTGTCATATTTCGTATTTGTATGTAGGCAGAGGCATATTACACACCTATACTTTGCCAAAGAAAATTGGATCCCAATAGCTTATCAATTGATGCAATTGTGCCTGTAACTCTATTTGGCTGCTTTATGGACGTCCAAGACCTCGAACAGATATATCCATCAACAGCAAGAAGAAAAATAAGAAGTTACCTGCAAGAAAAAATATTTACATTAATAAGACAAGTTGCTAAGTGAAAATTAACAGGCGTGTATAATTTTCATGAGTTCATCATTAGATGACGGTCAATTCCAATAATCGGCACAGTAAAAACGAATTTAGTAAATATACGATTAAAAATGATAATCAGCACCTTTTTTCTGATAATAGAACAAAAACTTTAATCTGCCGAAACCCGGGATTGAACCGGGGACCTTTAGATCTTCAGTCTAACGCTCTCCCAACTGAGCTATTTCGGCTGTGGGCTCAAATCTAAAATTATGGTTCTACTTACATTGTAGGTATATTTTTAACTGATTTAAAAAAGGAGGTTTTCAATTAGGCTGTATGTTTTTGTTTGTTATCTCAGAACTCCGTCATTTAACGATAACTGATTTGATAAATCCATTATATTGGTGATGATAGTCCAGAAAATTCCAAAAAGTAAAAAGTAGTAAAAAGTAAAAAGCAAAAAACAAACATTTCAAGTAGAAATAGTAGAATTTACTATGGTTTTATGAAAACGAAGTTAGATGAATATTTGTTTATGAGGTGTTTGACGATACTCTTATATTTAGGTAATAGGTTCTTACTGTTCTTAGCTGACATAATTCTATAGGTCCATAACCACTCTTTTCTCTTGTTAACAGACTTCAAAAAAAAAAGATTTTCAATTCAGTTTAATTTTTTTTGAACTCCGTCATCCATTCATCATACTACTTTTAATTAATTATATTTCCCGTTTAGTCTCAAAAGGTAGATAATTAAGTAATAAGGAATACAGTTTATAACAATTTATCATTTTGTAGGCGAGTTGAAGTCGATAACACGTGATAGTTATTTAATAATGGCTTAAGGGTTTTTATACTCAAATTCATTTTTCAAGGAACACTCGGACGTCGAATGGAAATTCGCTCGTACCCGCTTGTGGATGAGTTATTTTGAGGAGGTTGCCACTCTTCCACCACCGTTCAACATTCTGCCAACGCCAAAACTCTTCCTCAAGATGCTGGGTATCCGAAAGAAGGATAAACTCAGGAAAATGAAAATGAAGGTAACAAGTCTTTCGGCATTTATTAGTGTTGACCAAGGTTATAGTCCTCAGGCCCAGGACCTTTTTTGTTAATTATTACCTACATGCTAAAACTTATGCGACTTATTGGCGTTTTCAGTATCCGTAAAAAATCAAAATATGAACATAATCCTCGTTAGTATAGGTCATTATTTTCAACAGTATCAGAAGCATATATCGAAGCAATAGTCACGAATAGAAAACGAAACAATCCAAAAATATAAGCCAAATTTTCAACTAACGGGCTGTACGCAGCTTCTTAAAACTCTCGGTCTTTCATCCAAGTTCTCTCTATGAATTCTGATACTATCCTAGACTTGTTAGATAGCTGACAATACGCACATGTTTTTAACAGATCTGAATTTAACCATTATACTTAGTTTTTTTTTGTAATAGTCAAAGAAAAAAAATTACAAATGTATTACTTTTTGATATTTTAACCATCTACTTTGTTAAGTAAGCTACCGGCTCAGTTTGTTAAGTAAGCTAAGTACAACTTTGGTAATTGAAATTATAAAACAATGTATCAACCACACAAAAACAGGAAATATCGAGAAAAAGAGTCGAAAAAATTAAGAATAAGTATATAAGTTCTAAAATCAATTAAAAAATTAAATAAATCATCATAAATAATTCTAAAAAAATTAAAATTCCAATATCTTAAGAATGGTTAGGTTTGGGATATGACATTTCATAGTGAAATCTATCAGAAATGATGGGCACCACAACCTCCTAAAGTATCTAGGTCGACTTAACCAGTAACCCGTTATATATATACATCATCATCATCAACAGCCTTTAATAGTCCACTGCTGGACATAAGCCTCTCCTTAGAAAAGAGGTTTTGGTTTTGGTTTTTTTTATACAAATTTATATAAATAAAATATTAATCTTCATATTGAAATATACTGATTTACATTGTTTAAGTGTAATTACACAAGGTTATGTTAAGAACTGTCGTAAACTTTTACCACTAGATGGCGTTGACTGCACGGATGGCGTAGTGCTTTAAGCGGTCGCCACGCCGCTTACTACTACGCTGAGTGTTGTGGGTCCGATCCCCACACGGGACATCACTTTGTGTGATCCACAAATTATTGTTCTGAGTCTGGGTGTTCTTTGTGTCCGTTTCATGTATGTTTGTAAAGTCCCCCGCGACACAGGATATATTCCTAATGCGGGAGTTGTGTTATGATTGTATAGTAAAATAATAAATCCATGCTTATACGAGTATTATAGATGTGAAAGTGAGTTTGTTTGTTACGCTTGCACCCAAAACCACTAAACCTGTTTTAAAAATTCTTACATCAAGGAAAAGCTACATTATCAGCAAGTAACATAGGCTACTTTTGCCGCGAAAACCTAAATACTTCATATATGATTGAAATTTAACATTTCTTACTAAAATATTTTCTATTAGGGTTTAAAAAACCTTTCTTCGTTTAAATTTTCATTCCTGTATGAAATCAAAATTCTATAGTTATATGGAATCCGATTATGTGTATTAGTAATAATAACAAAACCCCAAAACAAACCAAAAAAAAATGATCTCTAGAGCAGGCAAGGTAGATTGAAATTGAAACATGAATTTAAATATGTTGGTATTTATATTTCTTTCAAGGATTCATTAAGAAAGCAATTCAGTAATAAAAGCAAGCAAATACCTAGTAAGAAGCTTTCAGAAGGAATGCTCTTTGAAATAAAAAGACAAAACAATTATATTTTGGTCTCAGCTTTCGTAACTATGTCCCGGGGACTTCCTTTCTCAGATTTACCCGTGTCCCTTGAACTTAATAGACTCACATGTGACCGAACACCGTGTAAGTGTTCACTCTGTTCAATTCTGAAATACCATTTAACTGTGAGCCCCATTGGTTGGGGTTTCTATACGATAAAAAAAAGCTTTCTTTAGTATATTACGGATCAGTTAGGTATTTAGTTAATTGATACTTATACTTATTCATACTTTCTTATATTATAAATGTTAAAGTGAGTTTATTTGTTTGTTCGCTTTCACGCCTAAACCACTAAACACCGATTTTAAAAATTCTGCCACCAATGTAAAGCTACATTATCAGCGAGTAATATAGGCTACTTTTTACCGCGATAACCGACATACACGCGGGCGGCGTCGCAGGCAATAGCTAGTATGGTATATTTTAATATCTAAACATTTTTGGATGCACAATCTAACTTAAATATGTATCACTCGTTTTAAATCTACTTTATTTTCTTGTAATTAGGAGCAGAAAGAAAAAGAACATGACGTACGCTACACAGCAGTGATGCGAGCTCTTGTCTGGCGCTACGTGTCTGCCAAGCACAGGAAGATGGTTGATGAACCGGTTACAGAAGATGATATAAATGAGCTTAAAGTAGATGTTTCTGCTTTAAGATACGAACTACTAGAGGTGTTTGAAAAGAATGGCATGGATGTTAGTTTTACAGATAGAAAGGAAAAAAGTGAGTATTTAAATAACATAAATTTAGATATATATTCACAGCAGAAGAATACCTTTTAGAACCTCTGTAAAGTTTATGTAGATTTAATATTCTTATCTGAGTAATGATTCCATTCATAGATTGCAACTCTTAGCCTGAGTTGATGTCCTTGTATATCGAAAAATAAATTAAAATGTTTTATTTCTGTAATTAGTGGTTCTTGGAAAGCGCATGAAGATATGGGAACGACGTCTAATGAAGGACTTCCACGTGGCTCCCGTATCTTTGGAGGATGAGAAGCTAGCCGATGAGGATGGACTGTCAAGGTTTAGGAGAATCGTCAAGATGGCGATTGCAAACACAGCTCACGGGAAATGGGACCAAACATTGGCAGCAACTGGAGTATCGTAAGTTAGAAATATTTTAGAAACAACAACAGAGTGTTGAGGAGGTACACACTCATATAAATAGTAATGCGTGTCCCATTGCTATATATCACCACATCACACATCAACAGTCTTTAATAGTCCACTGCTGGAGATAGGCCTCTTTTTTATCATATCATGAATAAACCTGTATGTAGGTTATAGTGTATACAAATTAAATGCTTATATTTTTGTATAAACTATTTACATCATTTTCCTGGGCTGCAATAAATTATAAGCATCACTTAAAATCTTTATGTATTCTTAGCCAGTGTATTCTTTGTTTTATACAGGTCCCAGATTGGTCGTTGTCGCAGTCGTGAGTCTTTCAAAAATCAGCAGACCTTACAGCGCGCCATGGAAGAAGTTAAAAAGTTGGTTCTGCGTTCTCCCTTACCAGGTACAAAACGATGCTCATCATCTAACTTTAGAAGAATCCCGGACAAGACATAATTTATTATTTAATTAGGAAAAAATCAAACATGGTTTTTTAAGTTTTTATGATTTTAGAAGGTTCTCGGGGTGTGTCTCCAATTGAAATGCCTGTGAGCCCAGGACATACATTATTGGAGCTGATCAAGGACATATCCACGGAAGTTGGAGAATATAGCGAACCTATCGCTTCGCCTGTACCTAAACCTGGTAATTTTAAATTTCACTTTAATATCATTTAGTTCATAAAATACTTATATGGTTACTTTTATTTACCAAGTTACCTTATACATAAATACCACTCAAGAAAAAATCCATACTTATTAGAAAAAAAGCTTATTATATTATGATTCCCAGTATAAATGACACAATATTTGCGAAACTCATTGAAATTCTCTTGGATTACTACATATACGACTTGCCGAAATTCTAATTCGAAATACGTTTCGTTTCTAACAGAGGAAGCTGGAGCAGGTGCAGGTGCATTGCTAACAGCAGCTGCATTCCGCAGCAGACCGATTTCTTCTAAACCAAGCTCATCCAAAGCGGGACTTGCTACTGTAACTAAGGTACAGAGGACCTTAACCTAGCATTTAGCGCTTCTAAAGATCCACAATTTATTGTTAGAAATGGTAGTTTGATTATACGAAGATCTCGACTAAATCCAATTTTTCCATTTTGAGTGAATTTATTTCGTTAACTTGCTTATTAATGTTTGGATCGGTGTTCTTGGTTTTATAAGTCCGATTTTCTTTATTTTTGAAGTAAAATTATGATGAAAGAGTAAAAACTTGAGTAAAAAAACAACTGTACATAAATAATCAGATTTGATGGAGACCGGTGTCACAGAAAATCATAAAAGTAGAATGTACGAAATATTTTACTAACACTTTTTGAAATTTATAGTCAAACAATTTCTTTTCACAAAATATCCTAATTACTTTTCTCTCTGACAAGCGCTTCATATGTGGAAGTAGCCAATTAAAATGGACAGCTGCAAATGCTTTTCTGGGATTATTTATGGTATTAATTCTGAATTTATATTTGAATTGCTGAATTATTTTCAAACCATCATCAAAAAGTCAAGTTTTTGTGTATATTTCTTTGCCAACTGTGACCAAACATAGTAGTAATTTATATTGGATACGGTTATGGTCCTATGAAATTTAGAAAAATATCAAATCTACAAAAAATTGCCATGATTTTAGATGAATTATTGAAAAGGAAGAATGATGAAATGGGTTGCACTTTTTAATTATAATTACAGTGATTTATTTGCCCTTTAAATAGCTCTAAAGATTTTTGGTATTACAATAGGGTAGATTCCTAGGTTTAAAATAAATTATTTCGCCTGTATCATTAAATCTAACATCTCAAAGTAGCGGCTGAATCGTCCTCCATTGTCAATTTAATTTTTTTATAAATTTGATATCTTGAAATCAACGTTAAATATAAATGATTTGACAATAACTAGGTATGACGTCACGAAATAGTATCTCATACAAAAATGTAAAGCGTCCAGCGTTTTGACGTTTAAAAAAAGACACTGATTTGACTTGACAGTCATCTACCCTATTATTATTAAATTTACTTGATTAGAATTTGAATTATGAAAAAATAAAACTTGAAATATTTTTTATATTCAAATATTTAATGTATGGTATTTCCTTTACAAAACACACACAGACACCATCAAGAGTCCCATCACCAGCGCCAGCGTCAAGAGCCCCATCTCCAGGGCCAGCGACGAGAGCACCATCTCCAGCAGTGGTGTCAAGAGCAGCAAGTCCTACTAGCTCACCATCTGCAGCGGTCATACCTGCTGGTGAAGAGACGTCTCCACTACCGGGCAAGTCTTTGTTGTTTTATCCTGATAGATAAGCTTCAAGACAGTGAAAGTACCTCACCGAAACAATAATTTGACTAACTAACTACACGACCTTATCCGTGTGTTGGCGGATTAAGAATACGGAGTGTCACCACCTCTATTCATTCCGTGGGTGTCGTAAGAGCCGACTAAGGGACCAAACTACGCAGGAAATGAGCACTGCAAAGAGAAGGAAAATTCGTCATAAACCCTATACCAACCCGTTTGGCATCCGTGGTATAATAGGACAAAACCTCCTTTCTAAGGAGAAGCCTATATTTATAAGTGGACTGTTAAAGGCTGTTGATGATGATGATTTATAAAGCAACCTAGTTCAGGTGTGGTACTATCCCGTTTATATTTTAGATAGCTCAGCCGGCGGTTTGTCTTCACGCAAACATTTTCATATCGAGAATTTTAACTGGTATTTAACCTAGTAGCCTAAATATGAAATTAAAATGCTATGATTTGTCTGGTGTGATTCTGTGGTTTGTAATTTAAAAATAATCTGGCATCTAATTTCCTATGAAAAGTTGTACATGTCAAGGTAGTGTTGAGGATCTGGTGATGGATGGATATTTTTAAATAGTTTAGGCTCTCTCTATATTAAAAATAATAACGCATACATCATATAGGTGTTTTTATGTATATTTTACTGTGCGAATTGCAAAATGGCATATAGTGTGTGTCATGGGTGTCAATGGGTGCTTACAACTTGTGTTGAGATCTAGGGCTTTCATGTACAAAATTTATTTTAATTTATTCAGATCTACTAAAACCTAAAAGTGTCCCGGGAGAAAACAGTTCACAAAATGTCATTAAAAGGAAACCATCAGTGCCATCCCCTGGTCCAGAAGAACAGGTAAAATCTGAAATATTTACAGCATAATTTTTTCGACATATATATACACATAACTTAACAAACACATAACTTAAAAATATTATTACCTGCATTTTGGAAGACTTTGAAAATACATACATAGAAAATACATATGTATATAAAAACGTGTAAATGAATGCTATGTTCACTACAATGGTATTCATAAGTTATATATAAGAACGTTGTGGGCAACTTTGTAACCAGCTAAAAATATAACTTGATCTGTTTTCCTAAACAAATTATAACTTCAAAATAACATGATGCAGTTTAAGTTTGATGGATTTGACGTAGGTTTATTATACAGTACCTTCATTTGTAACTTAAAAAAAAACTAAATCAAGTCATTTAGCTTTTATTCGTGAAATCACTTTACCAATGTTTGAACACCATTTGTTCATTTCACAAACATATTTTTTATAAAAGGCATTCATTTATGTTAATTTATTAAATAGCTCATTCTGTTTAAATACCAGTGCAATTATCTACTTTTACATATCAGAAATCAGAAGAAGGTGAATCAAGACGTGCAGATGACATAGTGGTAGCTCGGCCAGTGGCGCCTGAAATCAAACCTTCAGGAGGAGCCATACCTCCACCGCCACCCGTCGTGAAGCCTAAGGTAAGTATACTTACTCACTAGCTTATTATATTTAAACAAATAATAAATATAACTAAAAGCAATTTGTTCAGAATCAGAACCAGAAATTAATATATCATCTCAAGCACAAAAGGCTTATGTAGCATTACTATGCATCATCAATATGTTCTTTCTGCCCATTACCGATTTTTTGTAGGGCAGCGCAATGTGTCATGAAGTAAATGTCTGGTTCTTTTGAAGTACCACCAATCCTCCTTGGGAATGTAATTCATTTTCAGACTGGACAAAACGAAAAAATAACAGATAAGTCGAGGGAGTTATGGGTAAAGGATACGGTAAATTTGAAATGAGGATTTGCAGCTATGATGATCGGAATAAAAGCAGTCAAGAAAAAATATAGCTAATTACAAATCCTCACTTATATAAATCAGAGTTAAGTTACAGTGCACAAGACAATACAAGGTATTATTAACAGGTATTACGTATGTCACAGACACAGATACACTTACGCATTACACAGAATATAATAATATACAAAAAACAGACAGGGCTCATAACAATAATTACTTGAACCCGTCACCATTACCCCTGAAGAATTTAAGGCTTCAACCCCTCCTCGCTCCCGATACACTAACATTAAAAATATCTATACCAAATTGTTGACACAAACTATTGAGGTTTTTAGTTAAACAAATATATATTTTTTTTATAGAGCGTTCGTTCGTTCACTTAAAGAATATATTACTCTACTTCACGTTAGTTAATTACTACAATGATGATAATAATAATAATTATCTCTTTACATATCGCACACACGGCTGTCTGATCCCAAACTAGGCAAAACCTGTACTATGGTGACCAGACTGCTGATAAACCTACTCATATGATGTTTATACGCATCTCAATGTTAAAAGCTTGTAATCTCTTATGTATTTATTCACTCATTCTTCGTTCCGCTGCTTAATTCTGAGCTTAGCTACTAAGCGGGTACTTCAATAAATTTAATGACTGATCGATATCACTATTTATATACCAATGAAATAAATATACATCATTGTATCTTATTTTTCAATTGCATCTAAGGCACCTGCTCCAACAATGGAGGTGACTCCAAGTACTCCACCGGCTCATGCTCCATCAGTACCTGAAGTAAAGCCACCGACATCACCTAAAGTAGCGCCTCCACCTCCACCTCCCAGGGTTGCATCTCCAACGCCTTCTACTTCAACTGCCGCTGCCGTAAGTTTCTCAATGATATAAGATTTTGGTCGTCTCGCATTTTTCGCTCTAGATTCGTCTTAGTTTTATTTTAAATTTGCCTTCCGTATACTATAGGTTATCCTTTGCATGTACAAAATAGAGTAAATAAAATAAATAATAATTAAAAGAGAATTTTATACTTGAGATGTGACGAGTGACGTTGTGCTGCTCATATGCTGTATATAAGAGGTAAATAATTTTAAGCATCGAGCCTAGCAAAAGGGAAGTATACCCTCATGACGGAGATAAATGACGGAGCTCTTAAATAACATTTAATTTATGTAATATGAAATATACGAGTCGCTTATATTCTACTTTAGAAAATACAATGAATTAAAACGCTTATTTTCGAAAATATCATGCTGGCGTTGATAAAATTCACAGCATGGTGTTTTAAGCAAAATACGTTTTAGATTATTAAAGAGAAGGTATAAATTATCACCTCACTTAATAATGCTAAGTTTCTTTACGTGAACCTACGTAGTTTAACTTAAATTCTTTAACAAACTGCTTTAATTTATTGTAATAGTTAATAACATTATGAAACACTAGCTGCACCCTGCCACGGTTCACTGTGACACATTGAAATTGCATTGATAAGAAATGGGAAAAAAAGATGACGTCAAAAATGGATAAAAACAATACTTGAAGCGGTTTGTATATCGTGTCAAAATATGGGCTCAATCGGCGCAGAACTTTTTGCAGAAACGCAGGTGCAGTAACGTAAATTTGGTTTATGTACGCTTCAAAAACTCAAAAATAATAACTCAAAAACATAATAAATGTGCACTTCTCCGAAAGAATCAACAATTTTTAATTGATTCCTTAAAAAAACTGACTTGGTGCTGCGATATATCATTTACCTTTTTTTCGTTCGCTGAATGTCTTGTTTTTGTTCGTTGAATTCTTTAATGAAAACGTTTTTGTAACCAGAGACAGCACATCTTTTACATTCTTTTGTATCGCAGTAGTTTCAGATAGTCGGAGATAAATAAGGTTCAATTTACATTGGCTCAGATAAAATAACCTAATGGCATACTCGCATACTCTCTCTACATGACTTTTTCGTGTGTATGTGTACGTGTGTGTTATGGATTTCTTCATTGTCACAATTGTCGTGGTAGTCATATAATGTTATAGCCACGCGACGCCGAGAATTTCGCTATGTGGACGTTCTGTGATTGCCATAATACGAATTTCGTGATGTGGATGTTTGCGCAGTGACCACAACGCGTTGTGGACTTTTTTGTTTCAATGAGCGTTTTTAGTCTTCGAATGTAAAATATATATTACATATAACACACTATTTACATTCATACATCAAGTTAAGTCAAGTCACTCCTTCTAAGACCTAGTGACTTTTTTATTTTATATACAATCAGTCACTTCGTACAAAAAAGGTAAATTAAAGAGTGACTGTGATATTTGATTAAACAATACACGGCTGACGCTTCAAGGCAAGATTTAGCAGCAGTCTTATAAATAAATATACGTTGGTTGTATTATTTGACTTTACTTTATTATTCGAGGTAAGTATGGTTCAAAAAGTACCTAGTCTATCAGTTGTTATGATGATTCGAAAAAATAACTTAGAGAAAATAATAAATTATAACATTTTATAGATTCGTTAATCATATGACTAACTATATCAGTACAATAATTACTTTACACATCGGCCGTACATACGCTGTTTGATCCGGAACTGTTCAGAGAACTATACTGTTGATGTATATACGTATTATAGATAAATTACACCCAAATTAAAAAAAAAAAAGTTACTTTAGGGAGTACGCTCTTTTTTTGAAAGGTTGAAGGTAGTTTCGCTCCAGAAATACCGCAGACGATAACTGGTTCCACAGATTAGTTGTGCGAGGCAAAAAATGTCTCGGAAAGCGCACAGTAGCGGAGCGCCAATTATTCAAGTGATGGGGATGAAAATTTTGCCATGTGGAACGGTGACGGAAAGTTACGATAGAGAATGCAGAGTGAAACCTTATCTCTATGTGCCAAGGGATCGGGCCGGTCGGAGATCTTTAGGCTATCGACGATTCGAGTCGCTCTTCGTTGGGCATCTCCAATACTATCATCTGCATAACAATGGATGCTACTAGTTAAAACATGTCATTGATATGCAGAAGTGAATGATGAAACAGTGTGGGTGATAGTACACAGCCTTACGGGACGCTAGCGTTTACGGAATTCAATTCGGAGTATGCACAGTCGACAACGACTTCGAAAGAAGCTCCTAATGCCAGACCCAATCAAAGGCCTTCGCTATGTCCAAACTAACCGCACAAGCCTCTCCATTGGTTTCGATCGCCTGTGCCCACCAGTGTATGTGTGTCGTCAGCTGGTGATCTTGTCGTCATTATAAGATGAAACGATCACCAGCTGACCGACCCCGGCGAAAACCATATTGTCGGTCATTGAGTAGCTGGTGATCATCTCAGTACCGGAGGACCTGGCAGTTGATTATGGATTTCATAATCTTAGAGAACAAAGAAGTTATGGTTATAGGTCTGTAGTAGGACGGGTCAGAGCGGTCACCTTTTTTAGGGATCGGGTGCACAAACGCTACCTTCCAGGAGTTCGGGACGACGCCTTGAGAGTAGGAAAGTCTTAAACACGATAGTAGAGATTCCATTGGGCCCATTCGACTAATTAATGTTCAGGGAAAATAATACTTTACGCACTGATTTTCTTTGTGTGAACCGGATTTCCAGCATATAGCTCTGGCTCCGCGAGATGGTCGGCGGCACGTTTCATCCGTTATCCAAAGTCGAGTTGGATGCAAAAAGTTGGCCTAGGAGATCGTCTTTCGGCATCATAGGCCAACGAATTATCTCCCATCTGCAGGAATTGAAGGGATTGGCTACGGAAATTCCCCTGGACTGCCTTGGCAAGAGACCAGAATGCACGAGTTGTAGAAGGAAGTCTCAACAGTGTCTCACCGATCCGGCTGATGTGCTCCGATTTCGCCCTATCAATAGCTCTTTTAAGGGACCTTTAGGCAAAGTTATATTGTTTTTTAGCGTACTGGTATCATCGCATCGCCTACTGTCGCTATATTGGCCCATGCTTGGTGGGATCATCAGGCAAAAAATAAACCTGCCTGGGTAGGACGCAAAGATGGAACGCATCCCGTCCTAGTCCGCTGACCTATAGTACCATACACGGCGGAAGATGCAACTCGTGGCCCCGGCAAGCACTTAAGTGGCACTGTACTCCTGATTAGTCATTGATCCGAGGCAAGTAGGGCTTCAACGGCAATTTTGTAACCGTCCGGATCGGAGGTCAGCAGAAGGTGAACAGTGAAGGTTCATGACTTTCCACTTCTGGGACTCGCGTTCATCATCATCATCATCATCATCATCAACAGCCTATAATAGTCCACTGCTGGACATAGGCCTCTCCTTAGAAAGGAGGTTTTGGCCTACTATACCACGCTGGCCAGACGGGTTGGTATAGGGTTTGTTGCAAGTTTTCCTTCTCTTTGCAGTGCTGTTGTCCTGCGTAGTTCGTTCCCTTAGTCGGCTCTTACAACACCCACGGGATGAATAGGGATGGTGACATTCCGTATTCTTAATCCGTCACCATACGTTCATCAAGTATCACGATCTCTGCCGATGGGATCTGCTACAGCACGGAATCTGTAGCCATTTGGACGTAGTGTATCAGTCTGTCAGTTTCGGTGTCACTGCTATGGGACCTGTAGAGGCATGCATAGGCGCGGGGATGGTCGTCACTGTCTACACGGAACCACAAGATGGAAAGGTCCCGTCCCGAAACGAGATAGGATGTGTCCGATGGAGGTGATATCTGCGTCTCGGTTAAAAGAGTAAGGCCAGCTTCACTGTCTCAAGGTGATGGTGGACCCCTTATATTGCAGAAATCCACGTCAAGCGTGGAAAGGGGTGACCTGATGCGCCTGCTCTTGCCACGGGTAGGTATCTGGCCGAGCGCTGTTGTGGTTCCCCCTGAATACGCCAGCCAGGCATCCCCAGATCCAGATGGGGATTCTCCAACGCTTGCGCAGCTAGTACCCGTCTGGAGTAGACTATTTTTCAATGACAATAATAAAAATAATTGAGAATAATTCTGAGGCCGTTAAGTATATTTTTAAAAATATTTACCTGTGTAAATAATATTAATTTTAGCACTATAGATGTCAGAAATCACTAAACTAGAGTATTAGATATTTTGTACTAACTTGTATCTTCTAATAGAAACTGTTATGAGCCGCGGTCTTCTATATCCTAGGGGGGCTTTTTTTGTCTAATATAATTTATTATTTTAACAGCCTCCACAACCACCACCGGCATCTCTGCCTAAGCGTCTGTCATCTACATCAAGCACAGAGCAGCTAATACCTCCGTCATCGCCCGAACCTCTTCGTCCCGTGAAGAAACTCGATGAGATTAGTACGATCAAGCGACAGCCTAAAACTGGATGGCTTTAGATCTATACTGACTTTGTAACCCAGTTTAAATAGTGCATTTATTACTGGCTTATATTATATACCTCAAACATTTCACACACGGCCGTCTGATGGGTGGGAATCGAACTCACGACCTGCGTCTTAGCAGTCAGGGGCACTAACCACTAGACCAACAGGCCCGTCAATAACGAGATATAATGAGTTATATTGTATTAGTTATTGAAGACTCGTTATATCTGACGATATAACGAGTCTTCAATTTTAAAATAAAGGTGACCCAAATAATTGCGACATCTTATTTGTCCATTGTTATAATTGTAACATATAATATTATAGCCATCTGAGAGGATTAATTTATCTAATTTATCATAAAACACTGATATACTTGTGCGTAATTTAATAAGTCTCTTTTTTACTACTGCTCTATATTATAAAAATATGTTGCATTATGTTGTTTAAGTGACAGCGTTAAAATTAATTAAAAATATGACAGACGTACTTGACCACTTTATTAATGTTATTAAAAGAAATATAATGGTCTATAATAGAATCTCAAAAATTGGTTTTGAAATGGTTTATTATTCAAGTAAGCGGGACCAAATTATAGTTGGTAAAATGTGGGCGTTTATTGCCATGCGTACCTTCGGAGATACAGGCTTGAGTGGTTGTATGTCATGTATGTAATTTGATAATTTTGATATAACGTGAGTATAAAACCATCCCACATATTTTTTACATATAAACTTTCTTACTAACCTCTGAGTCAATAAATCATCATATTCTTTTCTATAGTGTGAGCACCGCGTAGTTTCAGAGCGTCAAATTCATGACTAATGTGAATGTCTGATAGACGCAGTCGTCCCTGCTGTTATACGATGCTTTATTAATTCGAGGATACACCTAGCCCTTTCTCTTGTTACTTTTCTTTATTCTTGGGTATCTGACTCAAAGTTTTGTTTGCCCCAGAAAAGAAAAATATTGTAAATGGCAACTTTCGCGATAATGATACTTTTGTTTTTATTTTTAATAAAATAAAAGTTTTGAGAGTAACAGTTTGACGCTTTCGTGAAACAGAAATCATTGGAACTACATACATAAATGGTATAAATTGATTTTATTTCTTGGCTCAATGCTCTCAAATACTTCCAACTTAGTTAAAATTATTGCCATGATAAGATTTTCAAGTGTGCAACACTGTTTTCCCATTAAAATCCGAAAATTTGAGATTTGGATCATGTCCAGGCTTTAAAAATTCTTTCCTTCATGACCTAATTTTAAACTTTGTAAGATAAAAAAAATGCAACTAAATTCAATTTTATTTAGCAAATGTAAAAAAAGGTTTTGTTCCCAAAATAAATAAATGAAGACAGCATTAAACCAATTAGGATTAACAAGGTTGTAAAATTCGTTTTTTGGTGATGTAATATCAACTAACAAATAATAAAATAGTCTTCATTACAGTACTTAGTATAAAGTATACTAACTATAGTGCATATTAATTTTGAGAATTCTAATTTAAAACTGTAATCGTTTCAATGTTAGTTCTGTAGCTTACGTAATGGTTATATTTAAATGTCGCTTGTTCGTAATATTGTCATACGTTTTTTACCAAATTGTAATATGAGATTAAATATTATCATAGTAATTTTGTTTCATTTTAATATCTTGACGTGTTCCTGTATTGTTTAAGTTGTTTTTGCCCCAGGATTCGCTACCATTAGGGAAGCGGTGTCGCGGTGGCGAGGATTTGGACAAGATTTCGGCGTCGGGTCGGTTCGTGGCCTTACACTAGGAGGCAGTAAATCGTAGAAAGGTGTATATTTTCTATTAACGATGGCGGCAAAGTATTACAATAAAAGGCCCAGCTTTCCACTGACGTCCGTCGAGTTGGGGGCTGTTTTATGTGTTTTTTACAGAAAGGTTACATTTATAATAATGTAACCTTTCTGTAAAAAACACATAAAACACACACAAAGTTTCAACACGCGGAGTCGCGTAGTTTTTAATATAAACAAGATTGAATATCGATTAATTTTGCAATATTTATATCAATCCCTACCAGAGATTACATAGAATTCTCGCTATCGAACGTTTCATTTTACCTACGGGTGAGTTGTCATACGTTCGATAACATTTTATTTTATATAAATTTACGTAAAAATTTATATTTTATATTCATTTCAATAGTTTTCATTCACTCATTTTTAACTGTTGCATGTCAAATCAGTTTAATTACTTTTTTTTTATAATGTTCACGAGTGTAATCTAATCGATTTAAATAAAACTTATTAAGACCTTTCCTTATATTACAATTAATTTAAGAAAAGGTAATAATAACTTATCAAATCAATATTTTAAATAATCACTTCTTTACTTACTTACTTATTTACTTCGTATAATTTGTACAGTCAATAAAGAAATGTTTGTTTTTAAATGCTAAATACACTAGTGGAATATAATGGAAAGTCGTACCCAAAAAAAACATTTTTTTAATTAAGGTAAAAGTTTTTTTTCGACTCTTCCAATGTGTGGGTACCGTTGGCTAAATCTTATAAAACATTGAGGAGCTGTAAAGATATTTTTCTACTCAGTAATCTGATTGCTATATGTGTAACTTTATGCTCCTAAGTTTTGCTAAGGCCTCTCTCCCTACAAGCTTGTGTTAATTAAAAAAAGGGCCTTATGCGAATAACAAAGTTACATATGATTATGTTACCAAATAGCTTTTTTTTGTTTAAGGTTTATCAGACCTATACAAAAAGTCTTGTTAAAATTCTTTGCAGTTTCAAAGATAACAGTTGAATAAAGTTACATGTAGTTTAATTTTCTAGAGAATAAGGAGTCGAGAATACAAGTACCTTTATGCACCGTCGGGATCGGCGCGAACATAGTCGTCGCAGGGGTCGAAGTCACATTGACAAACGTGTTCATGTTCATGTCATGACGCAAAGACGGCTATGCGCACGCTCCGATTACGTTCGACAATTACGGACACAATTTACTTTTATTCAATAGATAGTTTATGAAGTCAATATGATAAATACAGATGTGTGTAATATTTCCTTTTGTATGATATAAAAATGCCAAACGGTTTTATTTAGGGGTGCCACATCATATGTTCTATGTGTAAATATATCTTTATTCTTGGTTTTACATTGACATAATGTATGACCTTTTTGTAGGCCGAAACCTCCTTTTTAAGGAGAGGTCTATGCCCAGCAGTGGACTATTAAAGGCTGTTGATGATGATGTGATGTGCTATGACCTTTTTCTGTGGAGAAATCGCCAAGAAAACCTTAAAAAAAGTAAAATCTTTTATTATTTATTTATACATATTATATGTATATATTTAACATATTATTATATAGGTACCAATGAGGTTGGTAGTTGCTTACTGCTGCTTTGGTAGTTGTTGTTGTTGTTGTTATCTTCGGGGCCACACGCAGCTGGTACGCTCTAATGAGTCCTCGTCTGATTGGTGTGACCTTACTGAGGCCGTTCCCCAAGGTGGCGTTCTATCACCTATACTTTTCTCAATTTTCATCAATGCTATCACTAATGTAATATCTTCTCAATTTCATCTCTATGCAGACGACTTACAGATATATCATCATTAAGGTTGACGATCTTGCAGAGGCCGTCGCTGCCATCAATAAAAATCTTAAGAACATTAATACATGGGCTAAATCGTGTGGACTGCTCGTGCAACCCGCAAAATCTCGAGCAATAGTTATTGGTATCAGACTAAACCATTTCAGCTAAACCATTCAACCAGTTTTTTACAACAATGTTCTCATACCTTACTCGTCTTCTGTGAAATATCTCGGAGTTTTTATTGACAGTTGCATGTAAGTAAAAAAGTCTTTAATACCTATCATTCCCTAAAGCGCCTTCAAAATTTACTTCCCTTTCAAACTAAAAGCTGACCGCTGCTGCTGCTCCCTTTTCAGACTATGCTGATGTCTTAGTCTTAATAACAACAGTTCCCGGATCCCTCCTGTTACAGGTGGCGAGTTACACACCGTGTGGTTTTAGTCGATCCGATTCCGACACACCACCCCTCCGTAAACCCTGGTGGGGTGTCGGCCCGAGGCGACATAAAAAAAATGGATAGGTCGATTTGACAACTTCATGATGACAGAAGGCAAACTATCACATCTAATTTAGGTCTGTTAGTTTTAAAGTAATAGCCGCCCGCCGGTATAGTAATAACTTTATGAAAAAAAACTTTCTTGAAGTTGCTACTCGTTCAAATAAGTAGATAACAATGAACTACGGAGCCGTAATTGGCCGATTCTTTTATGATGTTGTATCTTATGTTTTCCTTGACAAAATTCTCATGTCGCATTACAGCAGACTAGAATCTTAATTACATATTTTAATTACGTCAGTTATTTTATAGTGTTTTTTTCTTATTAAAATATACTCTACTAAAATTAATCAAATGAATTAAAATGGCTGTTGAGTGCAAAAATTAATTATAAAAAAATATAGACATTCTTTTAGAGATTATAATATTTGCTAGTTGATTTATATTTGTGCTCTTTGTAGAAGTAAAGATCAATTGAAACTTCACCAGGTTACGTGTGTGCTGTCAAGAAATGCCATTTAACGAGGCATTTCTTTGTAATAATATTCTACTTCGCACAACCCCTCAGGCGTTACTTTCTTCCAGTCTGAGATTGCACTATACAGTGCTCTTCTTTGTAAACCGTTTTGTATCGAGGTTCACTTCAAATAAAGACAGTAAAAGAATACAATACATTTTTTCTTTTAAAAGAGATCTTCCGCATTAGGATCCTGTGTCGCGGGGGACTTTATAAACATACATGAAACGGACACAAAGAACACCCAGACTCAGAAAAACAATTTGTGGATCACACAAAGTGTCGTCCTATGTGGGGATCGAACCCACAACACTCAGCATAGTAGGAAGCAGTGTGGCGAACGCTTAAGCCACTACGCCATCCGTGCAGTCGAATTAAAATTAATTTACTTGCAATGCGTTAAAAAATATCTTTATAATTACAAGCTTAACAATTAATTCAATCCTTAAAACTCAGACCAATCAACAAGATTGTTTTTTTTTGGTGTAAGACACTTAAATGGGACCACCCTGGGCGTTCATTACACCAGAAACGATGACTTCTTCTAGTACAATCACATTGCCCTACGTGGGAATTGACAATTTGTATCCTCATGTCACGTCAGCTATGTCATTCCTAGCATAACCTAAAACATCTCACACCATCGATATTTAATAAATCTATAGTCTGTTTTTTAATCTCGTAGACTAAATTGACACATGCAAATGTCAAATTTACAAATAATGTTGCCAGCTCTTTTGTGCAGTGTTGTACCTACGATACCGGTTAGTTGAATCGTAACTTTTTATTTATAATAGACGAATTTAATTTTCATTCAAAGTTTTACATTTAAAATTCACGTACGTACACACGGCTGCACGACGTGCTACAAACTGCCAGGGAAATCTGACCACGCAACGCCATGCGTAACCCGACCATGTTTCGATGCCTTTAGATTAAACAAAAAAAATATTATAGACGCCATCAGTGTTGTTCCCGTACGCGTTAAAACGGCAATCTTAACCCTTTTCTCTTACGAAACGGCAGAACTTAAAAAATACGGCAATTAAGGAACTTGACACCATACGAACAATTGTACGAATACGTAATTCGTACAATTGTTCACACACAACATGTCACTAAAAATAATAAAACATTCAAAATGAATGAAGTACGAAGCCTTTTTGAAGAAGGGCTTCGTCAAGTGACCCCGGAGCGGTGGAAAGACTGTGTAGTCCATGTAATTAAAATTGAAGATCAAATGTGTCATCTGGGCCATATAACCGACGACATTACTGATAGGTTTATCATAGAAGTAGGTGGCGATTCTGATGACTCATAATATTCCTCAGACATGGAGTCATTATCTGAATCAGATTAACGCGAATACCTGTAATTAAGTTATTTAATTAAAAATATATGTTTTACATTATTAATTTTGTATTATTACGTTTTAAATAAGTACCTACACATTATTTCAGGATAAACACATTATTTCAGGATAACTTATTGTAAAAAAACGATACTTGATTTTATTAACGCTAAGTTTCGGTTGTGCCACATCACTATTTAAGAATTGCAATAAACTGACAACACTCGTAATGTCAGTTTAGTCTACGAGATTAAAAAACAGACTATAGTGAACCTATATTTTGCGTTTGATGAGCTGCTTCGCTTCCTCACAAGGATGGGTAATGGTATAATAAAACTGAATTAAACGTAAATCAAACGTTTTATTACTTTAACTAGATATAAGCTTATGACTATGTCAACAAATGATTTAGTTTAATGAAATATATAAGCCTGGTCTTACAAAGGTATTAGTTTCGGATAAACAGTGTGCAAATAGAAGTAATGCTAATGATTTTTTGTATTCGTTTCTGGATTTTAATTGATTATTGCTTTTTTATTTATTGTTATTTCAACTACATGAAAGCTGTTACAAAAACGAAAATGTGTAAGATGTCCTAAATCCATTATTGTTCATCAATCATCATCAACAGCCTTTACTAGTCCACTGCTGGACATACGCCTCTCCTTAGGCAGGAGGTTTTGGCCTACTATACGAGTACCACGCTGGCCAGACGGGTTGGTATAGGGTTTGTTTCAAGTTTTCCTTCTCTCTGCAGTGATGTTGTCCTGCGTAGTTTGCTTCCTTAGTCGCCTCTTACGACACCCACGGGATGAATAGGGGTGGTGACACTCTGTATTCTTAATCCGTCACGACACGGAATGGTTGTTGGCATACAATAATAGATCACTATATAGAACTTAAAAATCAAAATCATGAGGAAAGAGCTACATAGTTCAGATTATATGTAAAATAGAATTAAATAAAAGAAAAAAATAATAAAAAAAAAAACTTATAAAATAGAATTAATACACTAATATTTTTTATGTGGTGTTTTAGTCTAGAAGGCTGCTTGCTTTAATTATAAGGAAATAATTTTAGCTTTAATTGTCTTTTCTACTTTCATAAAAGTAGTTTTTGTAAGCATACATAGTTTAATATATCTTAAAGACTAAACAATGCTTATGTTATTTTTCCTATTGTATAAGAAATAGGCACTAATTGGTTTTAAATCTTACGCTAAATGAGTACGAAACTGTCCTCCTAGGAGAAGTGTTTTACCCTAATAAGAACCTTGTCTCACCCTTAATGGAAATAATAAACTGTTGTGTCAATAATATACTTCTACTTGAGTGCATTCTAATTATTGATGATCATCATCATTAACAAGCACAGTTTACTGCTAGACATATCCTACGCTGACCTGACGGGTTGGTATAGGGTTTGTGTCAAGTTTTCCTTTTGTTTGAAGTGCTGTTGTCATGCGTAGTTTGCTCTCTTAGTCGGCTCTTACGACGAGATGAATAGAGGTTGTGACACTGTCTTCTCAATCCGTCACACGGTCCACACGGTTTTATTGATGTGTATCATCATTCCTCTCGCTTTCTTGCAAAATAAGTAACAGAAAGATGGGAATGCACACGCATCTTGGTTTAATGAATGATCGCGTGTGGTGTTAGAGTTGATTGAGGTTGGTTATAAACAATAATAACTCCACACTTCTCACACACAGCACTCTGATCAAATTTCGTCTGGCATAGCTATTGATGATATTTAGATATCCATTATGGGCAGAACTAAGATTAAAAAAATATTACTGATTTAAATTTGTCTACAACGTAAGTCACGTGAACAAGTATATTATTCATCATCATCATCAACAGCCCCCGACAGTTCACTGCTGGCCATAGGCCTATCCTTAGAAAAGAGGTTTTGGCCTACTATACCACGCTGGTCAGACTGGTTGGTATGGGGTTAGTTTCAAGTTTTCCTTCTCCTTGCAGACTTTTATGTCCTGCCTAGTTTGCTCCCTTAGTTTTTTTACCTTACGACACCTATTTGATCAATTGGGGTGGTGACACTCTGTATTATTAATCTGTCACCACACGGAGAACTACTATTAGCTAAATTCTATTATATTTAATATTCACCCTTAGGAGCTTTTCTTCAAACTGAATGAAAAGTTTGGTTCCAACGAAAATTATATCCTCTAAAATTACAAAAACACACTCGAAATTCGATTTACAAACGGCGGATAATAATACATATGCATTAAAAACCTCATTTTTTACATTATATAAAGAATAAGGAATTTGACAGAAATACAATTCACTAAAGTAGGAGACAGTTTTTATTGCAAAACATTACGAATGTTGTTCATAAACATGCCATTAAAATATTAGAAGTACAAACCTTTAAAAGTTGTTTTATGTAGCTCAATAAAAATGCTATACAATATCACTTTGTTTCACTGATTATAAACGATGAAAAATACTCGTTTTATAGATAATTCTTGGTAGGAATTCGCCAACATTATGTAAATTATTTAGAATGTATAATCATTAGTAGTCCCTTATCTATATTTATAGCAATGTTACTTTAAGCCCTCGTCATGTCTTCTTTTAGACAAGGTCTAACAAGTTAATTTAAATTTCACTACCTACGCTCCTGCCCCTATTTTTATAGATCTCTCAATGATTTTTTCTAATCTGTCATTTTTTACATTTGAAAGTGTCATTATAAAGCCGTAATATTAATTTAAAAACAAATTGTAGCAAATTTCACTTGGGATGATGTAATGTTTAAAAGCATGTCTCATACGAGTACATCCATATCTTTATGGGCATTTGGAAGTTATGGTGGAATAAACAAACTTATATTTATATGTATATGCATACATATAATAAATTCTGAAACGTTTACAATAAATTATCAATAACCCCTCAAGTCCTTCGCTTTGTTTTTTTGCTTTCTTATTAATTCTATTCCAACTCCACATCCACAAAGATGGAAAAGTATCGACTATTAGTAACATTTCCCGTTTATATAAATATGTATAATATGTTATACAGCCTTCACTTCGAAGCTGACATAATATTCATTTCACGATGAAACTATTTCTCTTAAAGAAATCTTTGCTGCGCCAAAAATTACAACTAGAAACACTATTATTATTATGTCTACAGCCTATCAAAGGGTGGGGTAAAATAATACAGAAGGAAAATACACCCAAAAATGTTACTACGAGTAGTCAATGATGTACTAATCATCAATCAGATTTTTCTCTTCCCTTGGAGAAAAACCACTTACTTGAAGTGGTAAACCTGACAAATTTTATCTGTACCACTTCTTAACTTGACCAAATAATTAATACTTTATTAAATGCGTATTCAATCTACCTCAATTACAATTTGCTTCAAAGCCAACCAGACACAACTTTTCCAGTGGCTACTGATTTGCCTTTATCTTTTCCATAGCTTGGTGAAGCGGCTGGACTCACTTTTGAAGATCTAGGAGTACTCATTGTAGACCTGCTTCTAGGTGGTATTTCTTCACTTGAATCTGGTGTAACTGTAATTGTGGGAGTTCCTGTCATTTTACCCAACTCTTGTTCCAAGTTTGAAGCAGAGAGAATCTGTTCTGATTGAGAATGAACACTTGGAGTTGGAGTTATAGGTTTTTGGAGGCTACAGGATTCTTTTTGCGTCATGTAAAGGTTTTTGGTTGGCGTATCTGGTTCTATGGTGATGACATGATCTGTGGTTGGTGGTACCCTTGTGGTGCTAGGTAGGTCGACTCCTGGTGTACTAGGTTCTGAAGGCTCTTGAGATGATGATTTTAGGGGACGAGTTTGTTCAGATCCATCTTCTGAGCCTGATGAAATATAGATAAAATAATAATTAATGTTGAAGAATAATATAGGTCTAAGAACATGGTATCTAGTATATCAATGGAGGATGTCTATAAGGAAATAATGTCCCTGGATATATCAGAAAGAATTGCAGGTCCAAGTGCTTAATATGGAGTACGTTGTTCGTGTATTGGCCGTGAAAATGTTCTATCATTTTAGAGTTCCAAATAATAAAGTTTTAATAAACAAAAATGTAGGTAAGCTGATCCATGGCATCTGAACATGGTTTTATTTAGTAAAATTATTTCAGTAATTTATTACATGTGTTCATTTTCTTATATTTATTGAAGACTATGGTATTCTAGTAATTTCCCATAAATAACGTTAAAATTTAATTGAAATGCCGTGGCCGTACAAATTAATTTTCTTTAATATATGACACCTCATCTTCATTATCTTAACTGAAATTAGCAACGCTGCAGTCGCGATGGCAGTGGCGAAAGAAAGTAAATATGACTCCATATTTACTTTCTTTACAGTATTAGTTAGCACAACTTTCTGTTTGCTTTTATTCTTTATTATAGATCCTCATCGGTTTCAAATGTCTGCACATTATTCACGACAGTACAAACTAGTAAGTCTTAGTCGCAAGCAGGCTTTGACGGACTTATGAATACCTGTTTTGCCAGAGGCCATAATAATTCAGAATGTATATTTGTTGTAAAATAAATAATATTCTTGTTGTTCCTTAGACCTATTCAGTTATAAATCTCGAAAGTGAAGAGTAATTGTTAATGAAGCATAAAGTAATTAAAATCAGTAATAGCCTCAATGAATATCAAATGGCTTGTGGTGTTTTGTTTTCATTTATTATATTATGAGAGCCTGTTTCGGAAAGGTTATGCCAGAGGCAGTGAACTTTGTGTATTATAACAGGAATACAAATCATTTTTTGATTGCTTAAAAAAATAATTAAGTGTATATATCCAGCAGTGGTTTCTTAAAGCCTGTTGATGATGATATTGGAAAAGGTAACGGCACCTTCTGAATGATCTAAGGGCACGGCAGTGCTACCGACAAGTCAAACATAATATTGGAACACATAAATATTGGACAAGTACTTTTAAACGCTTGAAGGCATTAAATTTAACTTAAAATTGGTCATTAGTTATATCCAAACGATTTTCAGTTCGTTAAATGGTGTGTGAGATAATAAATAATAAATGAATAAATACCTTTGTCCTCAATATCCGCTTCTACGTGAACTTCATTGTCGTTTAGGCCTTCGTCATCGGAGTTTTCCGGAATTGGTGTTCTGCTCCGGTACGATTGGGCTATTTTCAAAGAAATACGAAACATCAGTTATCACTTTCTACGAAATGATTTTAGCATATACTTACGTGAAATGTGTTTAGTTTAGATCTGTGAACAGAAATTATTTAAAAAATTGCAGACGGACGAAACAGATAAAATTAAATGATGAAATGAAAACAAGCAAAAAGCAAGTACATCTTTTCAGATATTTTTACGATTCGAAAGATATTTTTATAAGTATTTTGTGCTTTTTTTTCTAACTCGTTTGATTGAATAGTTAAACTACATTAGTAATAAAATGCCCAAACGTTTTGCATTCTTGACATGCATAGATTTAAAACATTAGTTATTACGTATTTTATAGATAAATTATGCTCAACATCTCATTCCTATTACCAAAAAAAAAACGTAAATAACTAAATTTAAACTCGTGTATAAATTTAAATGTTCTTGTAAATATTTGTACGTTATATTTTGTGTATTGGGCTTACTTTGGATAAACAGAAGTGATGAACTGATGAAGGATCTTGCACTAAATACAAGTTTGTACAAAAATATTGAGCCAGAACTACTTACAAGTATTGTTTACTCTAATACCGACCTAAAGTTTTAGTAGAGTTTAGTTTTGCCACACAAGTGTGATAAGAAAGATGATGATGAAATAGTGAATGGTTTAGAATATCATTTAATAGAATTTACGGATTCATTTTATTTTATTTTATTTAGTACACAAGTATCGGTCACCCTTGATTGCATTATATTTGGTTACTATCATTAAAGGTTAGCATTCAAGGAAAGTACTTACTGCTACGTTTTTTACAAGTATCCTGTCTCTTTGGAGTCTCAAACACTTCATCTGCTAAATTAAGCTCTTCAGAAGAACTTGTCTTAACGTTCTCTTTTGCCAGGAAATCCGTCTTGATCTTGCTTTTCATAAACCTGGCATATGCTACTCTAGTTGTAGGAGATACGACTGATAATTGTGGGTTGTATTCTAAAAGAATATTTAAAAAGTTCTTGTAATCAGTTTAGCAAGGATATTTTCTCAATAGGTAAAGATTTTATGTAAGCAGTGAACTGTTAGCGCTTCAGTAAATTAGGTATTATTTAACGCTGTATCTATTTCAAATACTGTATTTTATGAGAAAATATAAATATTCTAAATGAATAAACATTTTTAATATAGAAAAATATGATGACAACTCACCTAACAACTTCTGAGGATCAATCGACCTGGAAGAAATATTATCCAGGATATGCGCCCTAAGAGACTGTCTGCTTCGTTTTGTTTCCGCTTCTGCGGTAGATCCTATCGGGTCTTTGCGTATTGTATTGCTACGGACTAAGGCGTTCCAATCACGTTTCTTACTGCAAAATAAAATCATATGTATCTTATCATATTCAAATAACCGATTGAAAATAGAACCATAGAAAGTATGAAATGATTTTATGAATGAAATGATGAATCGTTAAATGTACACAAAATTAAAATAGCTACATAACTCTAAGCCAAAATTTTTCTCAAAAGAACCTCACTGTGTGTATGAAAATCTAATTCATAAGTCCTCAAATTCATGAACTATCAATAAAATGTACCCGAGTAGAGAGTAAATAATGTATTTTGGCCACAACATAATTAAAAAAGTAACTTCGAAGGGAATCTCGAAAAAAATATTATTATGATTTCAGACTCATTGTCAGTGTAATGATATCGGTTGTTTTGGTATCTAAATAGAACAGTGGCGATGTAAGTTTGACAATTTTAATTCAAATCTATTCGGGTGTAATTGATTAACAAAAGCATTTCACTCTTATATCACTTATTTTTGTCCAAATAATAGGGGTTAAAAAGTATGAAATTGCATAGTAATATATGTATGTTGTATAGTAATAGATACTTTGAATTGACATAAAACCTTCATGGTGTTTAATTTTATTTTGTGAAACTTATCACATGATACCTATGACGTTCTATTTTTCGATTTTCGACTTTTAATTGTTTTTTTTTATTCAGCTTAGACGTGAAAGATGGATACTTCGAAAATCCGAGTCATTTTTGAATACGAGTTCCGACGCGGAACTGACGTGGCAGAAACGGCTTGCAATATCAACGCTGCGTTTCGAGATGAGACTGCTAATGAACGCACCCTGCGTTTTTGGTTTAAACGCTTTCGTTATGGAAACTTTGACTTGAAGAACGAACCACGTTTAAGACAAAGGTAAATAACGCTGAATTGAAGGAGAAGGAGGACGAGTGCAATTACCCAGGAATATTAGCAGCATGGTTTAACGTTACCCTACCTACAATATTGAATAATATTTTAATTTTCCGGTCTAACCGCAATTATTCTGGTAATTTAATAATAATACAATTATATATTTGTATTATATGTATAATATTTGTAATTGTATTTGATGTGAGGTGATGTGGTTTTCTATTAGTTCTGGATATTTGCTTGTTCAATTATTCAATTGAAGTTTAAATACACATCATCCATTGTGAAATTCTGTCTGCTCTTTAATGCATTTCTCAGAAGTATATTATTAAAAATGTTAAGGCCAATATTACCTGTCAGTACTTCCTCTTCTCACGATCGCTTTAGCTATCTGGCTGAACACGTCCTTGGGTTTGCTTTCTTTAGATATTACGTCTTTTATAATACCCTCAACTATTCCAATATGGAAGTCTTTGAGAATCCGTCGCTCCATCACTTTACCTTTCTTGCCAGCCACTGCAACAAATTAAATAGTGTAAAGAGCTTATATCATGTTGTATCATATTACGACTGCAAAAGCATACCAGTAGCTTCTTGCATGCTGACTCTGGGTGTCTTCATGCCGTTATTATGCAGTATGTCTATCAACTCGTATCGCAGCGTAGAGATGTCCTGTCTAATTTCCATAACGTCATCCTCGGTAACACCGACCTCGTCTCTGGCTCTCTGCTCTGCAGTCACGTATCTTCGAACTAATACTTTCATTACAGCTTCGTGTTCTTGACGAGCCTTTTCTCTGGATTTATTCTGTAGAGAAAGTATTTGGTACTGTATAAAATATATTGGCCTCAATACCATTATATATAAGATCAAAAACGTGGACATAAAAATATGTACCTAAACCTAACAGTTTATTACCTATTTCAGACTTAAGTCACATAATTAGTATACGTATAGTCAGTTCTAGAATTTTAAAATCGTTTAAGTGTATAAAATATGTGTGGGTCACTAAGTGTAAATAAAATGCTTTAAAAGTTAACTTAAAAGTTAGTGTAACAGGTTAAGCCATACGTACGATAATAGATCCACGATCCCTATTATAAAAGCAGCTTTTGATCCAGCAGTTGAAATGCTTCGGCGTAGGAATGATGTTAAACGGAGGGGGTACAGTATCACCATCTTCGAAGTAAGACATCCAGAGGTTGCTGCGAGCAAACTTCCATTCTGTATCGGCTCTTTCCTATAAGGCAATGGCTTAATGATTAATAGTTTAGCATATAATCTATAGCTTAGTAGGAAAAATAGATAAATCTTGCATTGCCTTGGCTCACTAGGCAAAATTATCTGGCCTGGTGTAATTAGTTTTCTTGTTTTTGAGGCTTATTCTTAGTTGATAATTAAATTCACGAAAGTGATATAGGAGAAGAAAGGATTGTGTTAGTTATATGACTAGTGCTTCAGGTAAATATAGGCATTATTACGATGCTTGCCAAATTCGTTGTAAATATAAAATAATAATCTTTATTCAAACATTTAATTTTTGTTTCAAGTATCTAAATTTCTATTACAACTTACCGAAATAATTTGATAGGAGTTCGACATCATGGCGATGAGCATATTAAGAAGCACGATGATATTGATCACCGAGTAGGACCCGAATGTCAGGAGAGCCCAGAATCTAGTGAAGCTTTTGATGCCGGTCAGTTCAAAAGTCGTGAGGTCCACAAGACCGAAAGATGCCCAGAACAGGGATTGGGACGTTTCGAATAAGCTGTAAGATAACAATATGATTGAAATACAAGATAAAACAGTTAAAATTAACATTATAAATCCAATAGTTTTGTTTTACATTATTTGAATTATACAAAACTAATAGCTAGTTAGGAAGTCTTGATAAATAGAATTTATATATACATATAAGTGAAATGTGATAACCCAGAAGGTAACACCATAATGCTGGTGTTTTATATTTTGTGGAAACATTAACATTCAAATGTGACAAATTAATATTCAAGAAATTGAAGCAATGGCAGGATAGAATCATTGCAGATTGGTAGGAGAGAGTCATACAACAATTATTTTACACAAAATGTAAGTATAGGTACATGTAGATTTCAAGTTTAATTTTGTTTGCATTTTTACCTTGTTGATATTCTGTACCGTAAAACAAAAACATTGCTAAACTTGAAGGTAAAAAGCATTTATTTATATTACTTGGCATATCGTCTCCAAATAGTGCAAGCTCGATCCTGTCCATCAAAGTCCGGAATGCCATTAGGAAGGTGGTAGCATTTATTCTTCTCCAACTCCGCATAGTACCACATCAACTGGTTTAAACCTAAGAGCAATGTATTCTAATTAATGCATAGTCAAATGCTGCATGGTTATTTATTCTTAAGACAGACTCTAAAAAATATATTTGATTGGGTTTTATTACTACTATGAGAAGTTAGTACCGCCGCATATCCCGGTGGGGTGACGGCCCGGAAGGATTTCCGTACCTACGTATAAAAAAAATATACATGTGTACGTGTATTGTAAATTTAGTTTTTGTTGGTTACATACCCAATTCAGGTTCGTTTAAGATTTTTTTACAAATTATTTTCTTCTTTGTAAATTAAATTTTAAAACTATGCGACGTAAGATGCAAATACACGGTTTTGTAATTCGGTCGTATTTCGTGGCATAAACGCATCTTGCATATGTTGTGTAGTTTTAAATTGGATTTTTATCATTGGGGCATTATTGAAGCGAAGAACTGATGTGTCATATATAATTAGGTCCAATAATAAGGGTTCTTCAGCGCATGCCTCGAGCGGGGCCAGTTTCCGAAATTGTGGAGGACGGGGAAACTGGTCCTCATCCGAAAGGAGCGGCGCCCGGCGGACTCACCGTCCGCCTACCGGCCCATAGTGTTGCTTGACGAGGTGTGCTCTTTGAAAGAGTGATTGCAAGGCGCCTCGTCAAGCATCTCGCGATGGTTGGGCCGGATCTGGCGGACAACCAGTACGGTTTCCGTCAGGGGCGCTCCACTGTGGATGCGATCATGCGCGTGAAGGCTCTGGCGGAGGAAGCAGTCTCCCGGGGCGAAGTGGTGTTGGCGGTGTCCTTGGACATCGCCAACGCGTTCAACACTATGCCCTGGAGCTGCATCAGGGAGGCGCTCGTGTATCACGAAGTGCCTCTCTACCTCCGCCGCATAGTCGAGGCATATTTGTCGGAGAGAGCCGTCGTCTACCTCAGTAGGACCGGTCTCGGTAGGCGTGAAATGTCGTGCGGTGTTCCGCAGGGGTCGGTGTTAGGGCCACTCTTGTGGAACATCGGCTACGACTGGGTGCTTCGTGGTGCCTTCTTGGATGGTGTCGCCGTCGTGTGCTACGCGGACGACACACTCGTGACGGCGCGCGGCAAGACGTACCACGAGGCAACCCTGAGGGCCACGGCCGGGGTTGCCCAAGTCGTTGAGCGTATCCGGCGGCTGGGTCTCGAGGTGGCTCAGCACAAGTCCGAGGCCCTGTTCTTCCACGGGCTTCGGAGGAAGCCGCCTGAGGGATCTAGCCTCACGGTAGGAGGCACTCGCATCGGCATCGAGCCCTCGATCAGGTATCTGGGGCTCGTACTCGATGGCCGATGGGACTTCGGATATCATTTCCGAGGTCTGGTCCCCAAGTTGGTTGGGGCAGCGCGTGCGTCGGCGCGGCTGCTGCCCAACATGAAGGGACCCGATGACTCCTGCCGGAGACTCTACTCGGGGGTTGTGCGGTCCATGGCCCTTTACGGATGCCCAGTATGGGCGGGGGCCCTGAAGGCCAGCAACGTCGCGATACTGCGACGACCGCAGCGAATGCTGGCCATCAGGATCATAAGGGGGTACCGCACGATCTCCTTTGAGGCGGCGAGTCTCCTGGCCGGAACTCCACCGTGGGACCTGGAGGCGAGAGCCCTTGCGGCTCTGTATCAGTGGCGCAAGGAGGCGCAGGACTTGGGTCGATGCCCCGAGATTCGAGAAATCGATGACCGGAAATCCCAACTCCGCCAGGTCATCATAGGGGAGTGGAGGGAACGACTCGGGCAACCTAGCCAGCGTTTTATAGTGGGCTAAAACCTCCTTTTTAAGGAGAGGCCTATGTCCAGCAGTGGACCAATAAAGGCTATTTATTGATGATAATGACACGAAATTAGTGACTGGGACTTTGCTAGATTTGGTTATGTATAGAATTTGGAAACTAGGAAGTAAATGGGACTTTTCATGTGGGATTTATTATTAAAAACTTCTTACCACATCCAAACGCGAAAAGTACCAACATATATACAAAGAAGAACTTCAAAATATCCAAGATCATTCTTCCTAGTGACACCTGAAGAGGTCCAAGGTAGGGATTTATGGAGAAGATATGCACCAGTTTAAGAAAGGAAAAGATCATGCCGGCTGCGAAAGCTCCTTCGGAAAGGAGCATGGGATCGTAGGAGTCCCATCCTTCGCGGGGGTACCAGGGATCCATTCCATTTTTATAGTCACGCTATAATAATAAAAAAAACGATTAAAAATATTAATAAACAATGTTGTAATACCTACCTACATATAAGTTTTTTTTTTACACAATATATAATAATTTTCCTTGTATCAGTATGTAGGTATTCGAATATAACTTAATAGTATACAAATTGTTACTTAATTAAAATATAGAGCAATAAACTTTGTTTTACATATTTAAAAGAAATTTTGCAACTCGGTATCGTAAAAAAATAACTTTCTAATATATACTACGTCGCGAAGAACTTTACAAATATTCATGAAACGGACACAAAGAACACCTGGGTGTTTTTTGTGTCCGCTTCATGTATGTTTGATGACTCTGGATTCAGAACAACAGTTTGTGGATCACACAAAGTGTCATGCCATGTGAGGATCGAACCCACAACACTCGGCGTAGTAGGAAGCGGTAAACCACTACGCCATCTGCGCAGCCAACTAATTGAAATAATCGTATGTCAGAAAGTTAGCTACATATGTATGTATTAAAATTTAATTTAGATTAAAATTAGCACTTAACAGTAAAAAAAAAATTATAAGTATGTTTTCGTAATACCTCAGTAGCCTTAATATAAATAATGAAATATATTTTTTCAACATATTTAAATACTTAAAGGCGATTTAAGCGCTTTCATCTATTATTCATAGCAGATCATTTAAGACATCTATCAAAAATCTAATGGATATACATATCGTACCTGTACGATATACCAGGAAGAGAACCGCAGACTGATCCACGCGATGTAAAACGCGTTCGTTATAAAGTCAACTATGTTCCATAAATCGCTAGTATATTCAGTGATTCCACCAGTCCACAAAGATCTTATTTCTGCCCAAATAAGACCTGAAATTGAAACATACCATTAAGAATAACCCAGAAAACTAACCGATACGATTGAATTTTTAATTCAATTTCAACATTTAAAAAATTAAATGAGTAGTGCTTAACATTGATAAGCAAATAACATTGAATGCTGTTGAAGGTCGATTTTATGTGTCATTAAATGCAAACTAAACAATAAAAACACTTCCAGGAATTTACAGCTTTGTTATACATTTATAAGTGTAGGGTAGTATTTATTATTTTTGAAATATATTGCTATGTAGGTATATACACGAATAGAAAAGCATTTTTTTCTATAAGAATACTCCAGTGGTTACTATCCTCAAGGACTATAGGCTTTCAGCCATTTTTTTAAGGTTAGACTCGTAATTAAGGGGCTTGATAGGCTAAAAACCTATAAAAACTTTTAGTCCTTCAGGCTAGGCCTATTCAAGACCCTTGGTTTTTAGGGTCAAAGTCTTGCAAAGGCCTAAGCATTTTTAAGGCTAATCTAACAACATTTTTTTCCATTGAAAGGTTATGAAGCTTTTAGTTCTCGAGGCTGTAGCTATATAAGTAACTACGAGTATAACTTACTTTTTATTTTTTGTTAACTCTTTGTTCGATGTCTCGTAAATATTTCGATTTCTTGCTATTTTAAATCGAATCGAATTATTTACTTTTCACCGATGCTCCTTCCATTGCTTTTTAATCATTTTATATTTTTTATCCATTTTTATGAGTTTAATTTGAAAATGTAACAAAATAAAAACTGAACCTTGTTTATAGGTATTTGAAGTTTACTGAAAAGTTCTGCATCAAAACCAAAAGTACATCGGTTGAGTTATCTATATCTGATACAAGTGTTCCCAGTGAACAATCGTTTTGCGAAGCAGGAAATTTGATTAAAAAGAAAGGAAATCGCCCCTCAAATAAAAACATTAGATCCTCAATGTTCCTTAAATCGTTGCCAAATAGTTTTCGCGATACTTAGGTAAAATTATAATTTTCTTTTTCTTAAAATAAATGCAATATAAAATAAATGTTGTAAAATTCATATGATGGCTTACTTAGACTCAGTCTCAAAAATGGCTTCAGCCCTATTATAACCCTGTTGTTAAAAAAAACTCCAGAAAAAGCCTAAAGACTTTTATAGGCTCATAGGCTTTTTCGTTAGCGTAGCTCTAAAAACGACAGAAAAGACTTAAATTTAGGGCTAAAGGCCCATGGTCCTCGGCAACCCTACTAGTGGTAGTTTTTCCGCTAAAAGTTTAAGTTACGGAGGTTTATGATCTTTCGTATGCAATTTCGGGTCTCTTTTTGTAAAAAAATATGTGTTTAAAAGTGAATATTAGAAGATTTAATAGTTATGTTTATTTCATTCACTACCGCTTTTCTAATCGTACACATATATACCGCTTTTCTAATCATACGCAGATCTGCCACAACTGAAGTAATACAGTGGTTAATAGCAATTAATTAATTACAAACAAGTTGTAAATTGCCGTTACGCAAACACTTCAAATATGTTTTTAACTTTTACTAATTTCAATTTTTGTTGAAGTACTTCCTGTGGAATTTAGTCTGTGAGTTTTATTAAAAATATATATAGAAATACATAAAGTGTAATTAAAAGGACACAGTACACAGCGATACTGTATGTTATAGCTGTAGTAGCATCAGTAAAGTGTAGGTGATTCAAAAACATGAATGTTACTTTATTTTGAAGGAGCTAAACCTAAATACACCTCAGTGTCACTCAGTGTGTTCTTTTTGTTTTAAATTATTTTAATAAACATTTGCTTTTAAAGTCATGAAATACTGTTCATGTTTTATACGTTTAAAATAAATCGGGTTTTAACGATAAAACTAAAGAATATTGTCAACAATCAGAGCATATATAAATAGAATAAACAAGTTATGCACGGAGCGAGCTAATAACATGTACGAATATTTTTGGATTCTCGCATCTTGAATCTTTTACGCAAAAATAAGGTTTCTTAAATTTTAATTTGTGGTAGATTAGAGTTCATAGTACATAAAAAACATTATTTTTGTAGATGGACATTTACATAACTTAATTTACATGCAGAAGTTGCGGCAATTGTGAATGTGCACCACACGCTGCCTATTACTGTGTAGTATAGTCCATCTAAAGCTTGACTGGAAGAGATGGACTGGAGATTGTATCACTGCTTTTTTTGTTTGTATGATACATTGTAAGTGTATATCCTAATGATGGTATGCAATAAAGAGTACCTATCTATCTAACTAACACACACGGTCTCTAAAGGATCTCCAAAGGAGTAACAAACAGTATAAAACAACTCTTAATAATACTCTTGTATGCAGAGCACACAAACTTTGTCAGGAAATTAATAAAATAAGAAATTATGTTTATTCTAAAAGCGCATTTTAAGGCAATACAAATATATGAATTTGTTTATTTTCGCCAATAAAACGGTTCATAAGGATACAACAATTTCGCTTAGGTTTGAAAAATAGAATGATTTATGACTATAATACTACTAAAACTTTGTATTTTTTACAATTTATATTAGAATGCTAGAAGCTGCAGGGTAGCAACTGGTTGATAGGTGTATTAATATCACACAAATTCTTATAGAAAAATTTGTAGTGAAAATCATTAAAAAAGTCTCAGGACAAATATAGGATTGGTAAAAACTCGGACAAATTAAGTGAGCATAGGCACCAGAAGAAGATTGTTTATAATCATTATAATATATTATCTATATATTAAAATATATATCATTATATACTGACGGGCCTGTTGGTCTAGTGGTTAGTGACCCTGACTGCTAAACCAGAGGTCGTGGGTTCGATTCCCACCCAGGACAAATATTGTGTGATGAGTACGGTCATTTGTTCCGTGTCTGGGTGTAATTTATCTATAATATGTATCTATTTAAAAATATATAAGTATGTTTATCAGCAGTCTGGTTACCATAGCACAGGCTGTGCCTAGTTTGGGATCAGACGGCCGTGTGTGAGATTTATTATTATTATTATATACAATGTTAAAACCACAAATCCTTGTGAATATATGATGATACTTTTTCCGTAAGCTTATCTTAGCTTGAGACTTGATTAATGGATAGCTATGATTTATATTCTAACGTAAGTAGTATGCGGAACGCATTACGTTCTATGTTAGACTACAATAGTCATCTAAAAAGGAAAATAATGTGATGTACACAAAGTCCTTTTATGTGCACAAAAACTAAACTATGTTAGTCACCATAAAATTATATTATAATTAATTAAATCAGTTTCATTACTAAAAATAAGTACTAACTGAGAAACAAATTTCCATATCCATGTCACAAACAAGCGTTAATGCGCTAATGAAAAAGTTATGTACATAATGAACACTCAGAAACATATCTTGGTGGCGTTAAAATTCAAAAAAACATCAAATGCAAAGATGTTTTTTGTATTCATAAGGATGGTGGACTTTTAGAGGCTGTGATGATGATGAATAAACCACAGGAATAGAAAAATCTTCTCTTCTCTCATATACTTCTAATAATTACAAAAACGACTAAAGTACCGAATTGGCCAAATAAAAATTATGGAAACTGTTATACTGACTGTAACTATTTTTTTAAATTCTGAATGTATGGTTACACCTCTTTTTTTAAATGACAACTCCCGCACTAGGAATAAATCCTGTGTCGCGGGGGACTTTACAAACATACATGAAACGGACACAAAGTACAACCAGACTCAGAACAACAATTTGTGGATCACACAAAGTGTTGTCCCATGTGGGGATCGAACCCACAATACCCAGCGCAGTAGGAAGCGACGAGGTGACCGCTTAAACCACCACGCCGTCCGTCCAGTCAAAATAGTAGTTTAAATATTACTTTCAAATGATCTGTAATTAATTGCTGTTTCTGTGTTTTTTATCCCTTTGAAGTACGACTATCGTCAATTGATAACAGCGATAAGTAACTATGATTTGTGCTGTTTCTTATATTACCTGTCAGTATAAAAGCATTGAAGCACTCTCTGATTGCAACTAAGAGCAGTCTTGGATATAAAAAGCATGCCAACAAACGCAAATTTACTTGCTATGTAGATGATGACGCTGAACTCGATCACACTTGGTAAGGACCCTCGTTCGTGCTCTTTCCAATCCTCCACTACCTCCTGAAGCCAGCTAATACCTGACCACTCCAGTACTAGGTAGTCTGCGCGTTGTGAAGCAAGTGATAAAAGTGCTGCAAGAAAACAATTATTTAAGACTGCTGATAGTTGTTAAAGTTCCTTTTTTTCTCAGTTTTCTTTTTATTGGTACTGAAAGGCAAAACGTAGATGATAACATTATACTAAGAGGCAGTGAACTCTCTTGGCATAAAGGCTTTATTTCTCCAAGGCTTTACCCCTCCTTTCATTGATTCTACGGGAGGACTCAAACGGGGGAATGCAATTGTGTTTAAAGAGTGCAGGTGTCCATGGGTGGGGGTGGTTACTTACAATGAGGCGACTCGTCTGCTCGTTTGCCTTCCTTTACCAAAAAAAGGTGTAGATCGTTTAGTCGTTTTTATTTATGGTCATGGTCTACATCAGTCAATGGTGACGTCTCTTCACCCAGTGGAATGCTTACTTCGAGACTCCGTCAAAGCTCTGTTTCCTAATTGCATTTTAATTTTCGAAAATACTTCTACAGTATATTCAATGGTTGCAATTTTTTTAAGCTTCATGCGAAAGTTTTACAAAAACAAACTTTTCATTTCACATTCGTTTGAAAGCATCCATTAGTAGATATGAGTTTGAATGTTTTCAGGTTAACGTTGTTCATAGAAAGTGATTTATTAAAAATGACAAAACTGCTCATAGCTACTGCCTGATTAAAGAAAAGAAAAGCAGATTAGAGTAGCGAACCTTTCAAGTAGATTAGAATTACTTGAATACTTAAAAACGTGTGTAGTTTAAAGGGATGTTTGTAACAAATGCTGACAAATTACATAAATTTAACCATGAAATGATGAATATAATCAATTTAATCATAAAATAGACTAAACTGGCAGTGATGCTAAAGACTAAACACTTTTATAGTACAGCGATCAAACAAATACATGGGTCACAATGGGGTCCGTTTTACTTTTTTAATGAAATTTAATTTATGTGCGTTTGAGTAGGTTTTTAAGAAGTAATAGATTCACAATTGGACCAAGCCGATAGCAGGTATAAAAATTGTTAGGTATATATTATTATAATATTTTTATCAAGTATTTTTTGAAATTTTACTATTTGTTTTATGATAAAAATCAATTATGATGTCAAAAAGAAAACCTAACGTTTGAACAGGACATCGGCTATTAGACTAGTGTTTTAATAACAAGTTTTATCTAAGTTTTATTTATGAGATAACTATTTATTCAAAAAACATTAAAAAAAAACTGTAATAGATGTTGTCCAACTATGTATATTTTCAGCAAAACCACTTTGTTTCTAATGGAATTTTAAGTGGCTAACATATGTTCCATTTGTTTCAGCAACTAATGTAGTTGATCTATTTATTACTTGTTACTATGATAACAAGTTTACGACACAGCAATTGAAAGGAACAGGTAACCTATGGAAAAGTAGAGAGGCACAAGAGGGCTGCTCGACGAGTAATAGAATTACTTCTGTGCTTGTCTATTCTCTTGGTTTTGGACCCTCATCTTATGCCTTTTCAGAATGAGCCGATTCGATCATACACGTATAGGGAGATAAATATTCATGGATAAATAATGGGAAAAAGTGTTGTTTTATAAACTCACTGAGAAAGAGCATGTAGGATGAACTATGACAGATGAACTTGACGAAGGGTTTCTTCATGAACCTCCCGTATTCCGAGTTGGGTGCCAACATATATATCGTGCAGTAGACTGGAAACATTATACCTAATTTTGCTACCTACGAACAAAGAAAAACATTGTAATTAAGAATTAATGCTCTCTAAACAAATAAGATTAAATGACTATATAACTGTCTAAACTTTGTATAAACGTCTAAATATTAAGAGTTTAAATGATACACGTAAATGGCCTGGCCATATTAACCGCAGAACCGACAACCATTGGGGTAAACGAGTTCTTGAGTGGAGACCGCATCTAGGTAAATGAAGTGTAGGAAGTCCACAGGCCACGTGGAGTGACGTACTGCGCAAGATGGCTGGCAGGAGCTGGATGCGAGAAGTCGAAAATCGATCAAAGTGTCGTGCAATGTTTGGTGAGGCATATGTCCAGCAGTGGACTGCAATAGGATGAGGATGAAGATGATAATGATACACGTAATTCAACTTACAAACGTATTACACATGTTACCGACTTAAAATATGTAGGTAAAAGGACACAGTTCGTCCTTAAATTTTATTTTATGTGTATAAAACGATTTCTCCAAGACGGCTAGACAGGTTTAAACAATTAAATTTTGATTGGCCATATCTTTAATAAAAATCTATAACTGTTCCCGGTTAGTCACATTGTCATCAGGTAAAGATCTGATGATGTAATCCTTTAGAAATAAATGGAATATAGTGAATGTTGAAGGCACACTTATACAGATTTGGGTATTAAAAGAATAGAAATAAGCAGTCCCTAATGATATTAGTGCTATATTATTTCAAGTTTTCACTAATACTCGCGTGTTTAAGAGATTCATACAGGCTTTGAATAATGTTCTTTTTTTAAATGTATTAAAACAAAGAACAAGAAAAGTTATGAAAAATTAAAATAAATTACCTGAATGCATTGTCCAACGATGTTTTTTCTTTTGAACCCTGGCAATCCTTCATACCATATAGCTCCCAATAATTGCTGTACGTTCGGATGTGCTACAAACTAAAAACAGAAACATTTTTATTACGTCTATTTTGGAACAATGTGGAAAAAATAGTCCTATTTCACAGACGCTAATATTATAATAATAACTTCACACATCTCACAGGCGGTCGTCTGATGCCAAACTAGGCAGTACTCTGGTAACCAGACTACTGATAAACATACTTATATATTTCTAAATATAATACATACATATTATTATAGATAAATTACAGCCAGATACATAACAAAATAATCGTGCTCATCACATAATGATGGGTGAGACTGGAACTCACGACCGCTGGTTTAGCAGTCAGGACCACTAACCACTAGACCAGCAGGCCCATCATTATTTTTCCTTTGTTAACCAGAGAGGCACGTTAAACAAAGAGCAGCAGCCTCGGATCTAGGGGGAGGCCAAACCAGGGCACCTGCCAGGGCGTCAAAATCATAATAGAATAAAATTAAAAACAAAATATATTGTTACCTCCCAATCACGAAAAATGCCAATCATCGTAATATATTGGAGAGTTTTTAAGTTATTTACCGCAAACGCTGGGGAGAGGGGGCTCTATTCTTAAGTTTATGCTCCGGTTCGAAAAAATCGTAGATCCGGGGCTGAAGAGCCGTTCATGTAAAATAAATGAATATTGACAAAGCTTATGAAGGCACAACCCCTATTTTTTTTCCTGTGCGGAAATCCCCTTGCCACCTACACACATCTTACCTATTAGTGTCCATATTAATACTATCTTGGAAACTTTAGCGTTACATATTAATATAATTTAAGGAATGACGTCATTAATAAGTGTTACACTTTTTTATGGCACAGGGAGCAAACAAGCTGACGGGGCACCTGATGGTAAGTGACTACCGCCGCCAATGGACCCCTGTAACTCAAGAGTTACAAGTTTACCATCAAGTTACAAGTTTTAGTTATAAGTTTACCATCCTTTTAAGTTCTTCTCTGGATCGGATCAGGGAGAAGAGCAACGAAAAAAGCTTAACACCGGTTTTTGTGAAGCACTCCGGTTAAGCGTCAGGCATATGTACCAAAACATAGCTCTCCCATGTTAAAATATAACATTCCTTTGATTTGCCAGACTCTTCATTCAATTTGCACTGGCCAGTCACAGTCAGCCTTTGACCGGGTAATGCCACTGGTGTTAGTGTGGTTATTTATTTGAAAACATTACCTACAACTTTTTAATACGTAGAACATACATTTTAGTTCTAACTATGACAGTGTTTTTTTTAAAAAGACAACTCCCGCACTAGGAATAAATCCTGTGTCGCGGGGGACTTTAGACACATACATGAAACGGACACAAAGTACACCCAGACAATTTGTGGATCACACAAAGTGTTGTCCCAAATGGGGTTTGAACCCACAACACTCGGCGTAATAGGAAGCGGCGTGGCGACCGCTTATACCACTACGCCATCCGTGCAGTGTTTGACGACACAATTGTCTCTTATTTAAGGAATAATATCCTAACTAAATGTTAAAAATGTCTCATCATCATCAATTTCATATAAAAATGAATTGAAAAACTAAAAATATGCATGCTACTCTTAGACTTCTAGAAAATTCTTTGTTCCTTTGTACTATCATTTGATGTATAAAGGAACAAAGAACTCTTGTACACGAGAGAAAGTTGAAACAGAAGAGGTGTCAAAGCAGTATTCCCGTCCAGTAAGCTCAAGAAATACTGGTCAGCTGACGCTAATACTCATATAGCTGAAAATTGGCTTTTGGAATCTTCGAAATAACATTATAATTGAAATGTAAAAGCATCCATGGATTTCATATATTGGAATATACCTATGGGTTTTGTTTTTTATATTTTACACTCAAAGAGTAAGTTTAACTATTAAAATAGGTAAAATGAAAATTCCCTTAACGTGGTTTCTCTGTTAGGCCAATTCCACGATCTATTAAGGTCCTGTTAAATGAAATTTCCTGTCAAACTGTAAAGGCGAATATTATGGAGAATATGAAATATTCAACTTGAGTATTATTTTCATGTTACAAGGAGCAAACGATCAGATAGTTCGCTTGACAAAAAAATCTTAGAAATGCATCAACTATAGCGCTTTATATATATTTATATACTAGTAGGACGATTTTTTATGTACATGCACATTTGTGAACTTTGTTACCTTTTTTTTGTAGGTGGATTGATCCATGAGGAGTTTTATATTTCAATTTCAACAATGATCCAAAGTTCAGTTTAATACAATTATTGTATCTACGAGTAACTGAAGATAAGTAGGTGATATAATAACAATAATAGAAGTTATTGGCTGTTCTGTGTCTCGATCATCAATAATCTAAAAAAAAAAAAATTATGTAAGAGGGTGCAGACGAGCAGAGTCACCTGATGGAAACTGACCATCGCTGCCCATGAACGTCTCAGGAACAACCCAGGAGTCACAAACGCGTTGCCGGCCTTTTAGGAAGGAGTACGCTCTTTTTTTGAAGGTTTGCAGGGCCACCACCGAAAAAACACATTAATCTATCAGTCAGCAAATTCAGCATCATACTCGAGACAGACTATTCTACCAACAGTACTCTGTCTTTCACATAAACAGGCCTATTGTAGCTACATGAAAACAAAACGTAGATACGATACAGTTTGAAAATGATACCTATTACGTAAATTCCTATCACGTGAGACTCGTAGTAGTTTACCAACGTAGTTAAACGTATAGGTAAATACAAAAATAATATTTAGAAAAACCTTTTCATTTCAGAATGGCGTACAAATATGTTATTGTTTATGTCAACGTGCATTTTGGTAACGATTAAATAAACACAACCCATCTTGTGTCATCGTCATAAATAGCCTTTAATAGTCCACTGCTGGCCATTGGCCTCTCCTTAGAAAGTAGGTCTTGGCCTACTATACCACGCTAGCCAGACGGATTAGTATAGGGTTTAGGTAATACTCCGGTCTGGCCAGCTCATTTGTTGTGAATATTCAAATTTTTGTGCAATTATTTTATTTTTGTATTCAAACTTATTTTTTTTTTCAATTTATGTTGTTATTTTTATTTAACTTTTTTATTCTATTTGTTAATTTATTTTAAATGGATTTTGCTGTAGCCGACAGGGTCTATGATGAGGGTCTATGAGACACATGCATATAAATGTTAAACCTACCACCTAAGTACACATTGTGGAATGCAAAAAATTAAATAATTGAGTATTATGTTCAAACATGGCTCTTCCATGCTGAAATCATTATGTAAAAATAACAGTGAACATTATGTTTTAGTTCAGACTACTAGACATTTCAGATATTCGAACAATGACATCAAATTATACATACTACAGTATACATTATACGTTCTTCGAATATACGTTCTACACATGGCACTTTTAGTTAGAAAACGATAATGTTAATGTACATACAAAGACTTTAAATCGTTTGTACTTCGTTTTTATATCCTAACATTTAGCTCCAAACAGATCAGCGTGTTTTGTTTACAAAAGACGTAGTACATCGATACTTTGATGTTATTCTTTATCCAGTAACTCAAAGCTGCACGATTTTTTGTGTGCTTCATACTGAAAGAGATTTACTTCCTTCGTACTGAAATAAAGCTAGGAGGTGGTGTTCGGATTTAATTTTTCATAAATCCACCACATTCTAAATTAATTAACTAACTTTGTTTTACTTGTAATTTCCTATTTAATACCTGAATTTTGTAATTTAGTCGTGTTCGAGTAATAGAGAGCAGGCCTATTCAAGGCCCATTTCTGAGTGTAGAGGCAAACTTTTAAATCTCTACTCATAGTCGCCTAGTTTCCCCTAGTTTTTATACCGAAGTTTCCCCTAGTTTTTATACCGCATTTATGTACCTACATAATTTTGATTTTACAACTTGAAAAATAAATGCTAATGACCCATGAATCGTACTGTGTAAAGTAGTTATTATTTAAAGGTTAACAATGTCCTCTATTTTTAGTCTGCTCAAATTCAAAAATCACAACAGATTTTATGTCTCAGATAAAACAGAAAATATGTTCTCCATCAACAGCTTTTTAAATCTGCCGACGCAAATGGCATTCAAATAAACAATCCGTAATTTGAAATCTAAACATGTACAGCATAATATTTATTTCAGAAATCTTAAACATGAACACCTATTGGCTTGAAATTTATTACTTTACTTATGTATGTACGTACGTATATTTAAGGTTGTATGTTTGTTTGTTGATCGAATGAATAAAAAATGTTGCCCTCATTAAGTTTTCCTTCTCTTTGCAGTGCTGTTTTCCTGCGTAGTTTGGTCCCTTAGTCGACTTTTACGTATTAATAAATACTTAGATATATGATTAGCAACACTTGCTTCATTGCATACAATAATTTCGTTGCGGGTTCGTGGTTCGCGGCTGTAATGTTGATCCTGGTGTACAGGTGTTACAGTGAATGGCATGTGGGAGGGATAAGTCCCAATTAAAACAAAACACTTGCATCGTTTTTGTTATCATGTACCCACTAAGTATTGTTTTGAAAAGAAATACGTAAGGTCGAAGCTTTACGTATCCTCCCTCTGTGTTTTAGATAGTTAAAATTAAAATGTTGAAATTCTTGTATTTATTTTGAAGTATAAAAACCAATTGCAAAATTTATCTTGCAAGAGTTCCAAGTATAATTTTTAACCTTACCGCGTTATGAAGAGATATCCTTAATTCAAACTAAATCCTCGTTAACAAACGGTGCCAATAAATTTGTATTTCTTTTTAAATTTAAACCTTACCATATAATTACCCTCACAACGAAAAAAGAAAGCACTAAAAATTTATGAACAGATCCGCGGTCTAAACAAAATATTATATCATCAATCTGGTTATTCAGCCGGCTATTCCTGGCATTTCCCGACTTATGAAACACCTGTTGATTTAACACATTTTAATATTTCATGCTGAGATCACTTACTCAGACTTTTCAAATACCAACATAAATAATGAACATTTTCTTCCAATATTTTTAGTAACTACTCCTAAAATA